TGTATCTTTCACCCAGAGTGATTGCAGCGCTATCTTCTTTCATCCACAAAGATCCTGCCACTGCAGCACAAAATGGTTGTCGTGTGGGGGTACAAAATGAACAAAATATAAGTGATGAAGTCAAAACACAAGCCAGACCTCAGTCCTTCCCCTTTATTTATTTTACAAATATAACTGGGAGACGGAGACAGAGCTTGTCTGATGCTGGGGCTCCGCTGACCTGTAGCCACAGCACACTTGCAAAACAAAAGGTTGCCAGAGACAAACACTAGATAAGCCATATTTCTTGGCCCCAGCGACAGAGGGCTCAGGAGGGGCCTCCTGCTCCAGTCAGCCGGGTTTGCCTTTGGCCTGTGCTCCCTAATAGATGAGCAGCTACGGGCCAGCTATCGGCTCATGGAGGACCTCGCAGTGACTCTGGGGGATCAGGGGTCAAACAGATTGACAGATAGATCTTGTGCACTTTCTGCTGAGCAAACACTCTTAATGCATGTGCTGTTTTACAGTTTTTACAGGCCAGACACATTGACATGAGTTCAATTAGTTTACAAATCTGTGGATTAGGCTGCATAATATAATTTACTAAAACAAAAAGACAAGCGATGACTAAAAGTATATTTATCTTGACATTATCAAGATCAAATGAATTTAATTTAATTGAAATCATCATATCCCACATATCTTTCTTCCCTGACATTTAGTGAAAAAGTTGTATAATTGTGTTATTAAACAACTGCTGATTAAATTAGGAACTAGATTTTAAAATAAATTGTTGTTTCAAGAAGGGGGGGGGGGGCTTCTATCTGTATGGGACGTTTTGTACACTTGTTAGGACTGTTGATAAATGGTACATTTTAGAGGCCTGTAGGTTAGATGTGACAAAGGTTCCACTAGCGCCCCCTAACAGCTTAATGAAGCCCTACCGTTGTCTATAATTGTGCTCGGGGTCCGATGGAAGTTCTGATGTTTCAAATTTCGTGGCCACTTTAGATTTGTTGTTATGGTTGATTTCGATACTTGGCCTTATAACAGCTGCATACACTGTTTATACAATGTTCTTTATTATCTGACCTTGAAATATCATACAGCTATTTACTGGCAACATCAAGTCATGTGTCACACTCAAGTCTAGTGTCATACTTTTATTTTCAACTTTCTTTGTCAAGAAATTGATTTTTTATTTAAATACATATTTTTATCAAACAATATATCTTAATACAAATTATGGTGATACAATCATTTTTGAACATCTCACTGGTGATCAAATTATTGTCCGAGCCTTTGAAAAGATCAGTTCTTCTGTCCATTTATTTATGTTGGACATTTTATTCATTTGGTTGTGTTGCTGAGCAGAGAAGTGATGCAGAGAAGTGATGTCACCACGTGTGAATAAAATAAAGCTGCTCATTCTCTTGGAACATGTGATCCACTCAATCTGTGAGAGACTTAATTGGGATCTCATTCACAAAAATGTAAGGTTCCATTGGTATCAAGGTTTGTAAAATGTGATCTAGACATTTCAGGGTTATGGTTAGTTTTGAAAGAACTATCTATCCATTGATGTATTAATATCTATATATATATATATTTGAGGAATAAAGTGTATTCTCTGAGGGGAGGGGGGGGGGGCGATTCTGGTGAATTCTTCTGAATTAACATCCCTCCCTCCCCAGGGACAGCCGGGGGTCTGGAGTGGGAGGGGAGCCTGCAGAGAGAGAGACCTTCACACCATACGCAGAGACTGAACCCAGCTGACATGCAGAAAGTGACCGTACTACCACAGTGATTGGATGGGAATGTTTTATGTCAGTCGTCGTTGTACTTCCTGTCTTTAAAGTTGTGCCTTTGTCTACATCCGAGGACCCTCAGCTTTGTTCGTGTTTCCACACAGTGGCCGTCAGCAGCCAACCACCACTTCCTGTCAAAAACCTAATAATAGACGGTTGGACTCTACGCAGTGCTTACCAAGCAAAATGCCCTGTCACAGTCAATTATTATTAATGCCAACCTATTTCAGTCTTCTGAAACATGCTGGGACCACTACATCTGTACAACCAGTGCCGATAAATAAAGAAATCAATGAATTCAACAGGCTTCATTGTTTCAACGGCCAGGGAAAAAACTAATTGACAAGCAGTATGCGTGTTTGCATCCACTCAAAAAATGAGTGTAGTCCTATCCTAGTTTTCCTTTGCTACATTTTATATGAGTATTCATATTTTTAAATTGTTTTTCTTATAATCCCTTATAATCGGCATAAATCAGCTAATTGTGAAAACAATAAATCTGTTAGAGGACATGTACTGTATATGGTTTGAATATGCTTCCTGGGAAACATGCAAGATTCAATTAGTTGCAATATATGAGATTAATTGATATACTCTACATTTGGGGGAATGGAATGGTTCAGAAAAGGGAAAGCACATCGCATTTGCCATCTTACCTCGGGATGTAACGTGATCTACATCTGCTTTCATCCTTAATAATGTGCTAAATGTTATCAATATATGTACATATTTTATGAGTAAATGAATTATGTGTGTATTACAAGTTAATTTACTTTATTTCTTAAAGCAATAAGTAATATGTTTTATTGCTTAAAGCATATCATTATGAATATCATACAAATAAGCTTTATTAATACTGAATACATTCACATGGTTATTAATTATTAATTTGTTGTTAAATCTAATTTTGGCAGACACACACTTCAACCTGCCCAACGGCTAAAGACTTTTGACTTTTGACTGCTTGTCAATTGACATTCTGGGGTTTGAGGGTTCTCTCCGTGTACTCCGGCCTCCTCACACAGTCCAAAGGCATGCTCTCTGGGATGGGTGACTCTAAATACCCCGTAGGTGTATGCTGGTTCTATCCGATGCTGGTTCTATCTGATGGTGGTTACGTCTGATGGTGGTTACATCTGATGGTGGTTACATCCTATGGTGGTTACGTCTGATGGTGGTTACATCTGATGGTGGTTACATCTGATTGTGGTTACGTCTGATGGTGGTTACATCTGACGGTGGTTACATCTGATGGTGGTTACGTCTGATGGTGGTTACGTCTGATGGTGGTTCTATCTGATGGTGGTTACGTCTGATGACGGTTACATCTGATTGTGGTTACAACTTATGGTGGTTCTATCTGATTGTGGTTACGTCTGATGGTGCTTACGTCTGATGGGTGGTTACATCTGATGGTGGGTACGTCTGATGGTGATTACGTCTGATGGTGATTACGTCTGATGGTGGTTACGTCTGATGGTGGTTACGTCTGATGGTGGTTACGTCTGATGGTGGTTACATCTTATGGTTCTTCTATCTGACGGTGGTTACATCTGATGGTGGTTACGTCTGATGGTGGTTACATCTTCCTAGGTGGTTTATTGATGGTGGTTACATCTTATGGTGATTCTATCTGATGGTGGTTACGTCTGATGGTGGTTACGTCTGATGGTGGTTACTTCTGATGGTGGGTACGTCTGATGGTGGGTACGTCTGATGGTGATTACGTCTGATGGTGGTTACGTCTGATGGTGGTTACGTCTGATGGTGGGTACGTCTGATGGTGGGTACGTCTGATGGTGATTACGTCTGATGGTGGTTACGTCTGATGGTGATTACGTCTGATGGTGGTTACGTCTGATGGTGGTTACGTCTGATGGTGGTTACATCTGATTAGATATTAATACAGAAAAGGCGTTATGAATCTAAACTCTGCCCTAAAAAAAGTAACCCGTTACCCGTTAGCTACGCCTCACATCTTCCACATCCTGGAGCTCATTGTTATGAAGGTTCAATGTTGACAAACCGACCAAAGAAATGTTTATTAAATAACTAATGTCCCGCCTGAAAAGGTCCTCAAATTACATTACATAACTTAGTAATAACTAATATAGTAATATTTGTGAACTTGACTTATCGTTGTGTTTATTTTCCTTTGTCCTTGTTGCTTGTTGCTGAGGTGAACTGCATTCTGGGCTTATTGAGGAAGGGCGTAAGAAGTTTAAAACCTTCACTCTTTGCTTACACCTTCCGGTTGCTGGTGAGATTCCATTCACACTAGTTGTTACATCCACTTGTGAGATTAAACACATCCTCATGCAAGAGCATACGTACATACAACTGAAAAACGTATATTATATTACATTTGAAACATTTAAACAACTATATGTGAAACACTTGCATATGTATCTAAACCTTTTATATCATAGTAATCATATGCAAGAGTTTCACTTATAAGTGTTTAGTGTTTAACAATAAACAACCTTTTCATAGGGGCATGTATGAGTGTTTCGGATAGATACGTATAAATGTTTAACTAATACGCATGTAATCATTTCATATGTATGTGTACATGACACAGAAGTATATATGTATGCGTGTGTGTTTATTATATGTACGTGTAAGTGTTTGAGACGAGTATGTATGTTTTATATTACATCGTATTACATTACATGTCATTTAGCTGACGCTAAATAAGTGCATTCAACTATAAGGATACAAACTCAGAAGAGCAAGAAACAAGAAAGTGCAATTTCTTCAAGTAAGCCAATTTAAAATGTATTATTAATCTCTATCTATCTATCTATCTATCTATCTATCTATCTATCTATCTATCTATCTATCTATCAATCACAATTATTATAATCAAAATATTTCAGGTCTATTGTTAAAAAATGTTTAATCTGGATGCATTTCCATGCAAAATGCAGTTGGCAGAATCTAAATTTGGGTTTATTCCTTCCGCTGTCCATCATCTCAAATGTGAAGTAATTTAAAGAGTAAGTCTATAAAAATCTCCTTATTATTTTAAATTAATAACAGTCTTGAAGCAGATTTGTTGTCCGTGTGTGTGTGTGCGTGTGTGTGTCCTCCGTCAGCACGGCCGCGCGCTCCTGTCTCGGCATTTGCGCTTCAGCATCCGTCACGTGGCTCCACGCCCACCAATGGCATTACGGCGGTGTAACTTTTGTGATAAAGCAAGCGCAGTAAAGAGCGCGTGCACCGAAGTAGTTCTCAATCTGAGGTCTTCGATGGTCATCATCGCTCTCGCGCTAGCGGTGCTACTGGCTCTTAAAGCGGCTGCGTCGCATGCACCGAGCCCCGGATACCTGCTGCTCCCTCCGCTCCGCCTCTTCTCAGCAGCCCATCGCGGCTGCAGCAACCCGACATCCAGGTCCTAATCACCGCACCATCAGCGCTGACTGGCCGCTGGCACTGGGTTAAATGTTGGGAGAAAAGGCTCACGGTAAGTGATATCCCCCCCTATTCGGCATTCTGCGCCCGCGGCGTGCACATCCAGCGCAGAGGGGACTTTTGTTTTGTCCGAGTCAAGAAACCATTTTGATGCGCGTGATCCCGCAGGCCTACATGTGGAAATGCGCCGCCAACAGCTACATCCATAACCCCGTCAGGGCTCGCTTGTTTCATTCCACCATGGAGCAGAAAATGACTGAAACGAGAACAAAAAGAGCCTTTTTAAAGCAGGCGGATAAAAAAATAATGTTTTTAAATTTCAGGTGATTTCAGTTGTGAAATGTAACACATTAAAATGTATTCAAAATGAAATATAAACTAATACAATAGAGTATAAAAGTATATCCTAATTGTCTGCCTAATGACTAAACATAATATCTCGTTATGATGATGCAAAAAAATGCAGTAACAATTGGACAACCGTTTCAGAATGTAAAAACGCGTGTGGTAATAATAATGATAATATTACAAATAATATGAAAATGTCTTATAATTATATTCATACAAGTTATGCAAATAAAATAATAATCATATCAATATTACCATACTACCTGTACTATTATAAGTTAATAAAACTATTAATGATCGTAATAGTAATAATACTAGTTGTGGTAATACCACCAGTTTCATACAAATATTTGTTATTACTACAAAGAGTAGTTTTCATATAATTAGTAGTATTAACAAAATAACAATAATAATGAATAAGAAGCAAATGACTAAAGATTTGTTTTGTCTTGTGATGGCCGTGCACGGTGCGGGAGACAGATCCCTGCAGCGTGCGCGTTCCCTGCTTCATGGGCCGCGAGACGCCTCTTTTTCCCGGTGGCCGGCAGCAATATTTATTCTAATAATGGACTAATATTAGAATAATATTCCGTACTGATCACCAAGAGACACGAGTTCCACTACAAAGATAATACAGCTCTTTTTTCCTATTTATTTATTTGCCTTTGGAGAATCGTTTGGCTGCGGGAGATAATGTTCCGTCTGAACGGACACGTGCGGCGGGTTCGGACCGACACAAACCAACGCGCATCTCTGACGACGCTCGTTTAACAGCAGAAAGTTGGGTTTATTATTTTCAATTGTTATGCGAGCGGAGACCATTCATATTTGTTTGTGGGCCGTGATGACGAATTACATATGGCTTTATTAACATTTATTAACACATTTTTATGTTATTATAATGTATATTAAAATAGTTACAGTTTTAGATATTTTATAATACAACGTGGGAACGAATGTGAGGCCTTTTTTTTCCAAAACAGTTTTTCTTTGTGAAATTGAAATGAATATATTTATGATTATGTATCATTATTATGTGATTGTTATGTAATGATTTTTAAGACCATCGAATAAATATATTATTTTTCATGTTTGGAATTTGAAATAGAAAATGAAAGTTAAGTTAAAGAAATGTATGTCCTTATTTTTGCTTCAGATTAATTGTATCTAACTGAAAAACTGACTGAAACTATTTCACGCGGTCAACTGAATTACAGATAAATGTAATTTATGTTTAAAGAGCAAGAAACGGAAGACGGAAATTATTATGTAATGTTATTTAATCACAAGGACATCGTGTCAAGCGTTCAAATGTCCAGTACGTTCCCAATAAATAATAAATCCCCGGGAAAAGATCCTGCATTTTATGCACCGTGTATTTGCATTAGTGTGCCGCGTTGCTTTTTGGCTGATGTGCGCGCGCGTGTGTGTTTGTGTGTGTCTGTGTGTGTCTGTGTGTGTCTGTGTGTGTCTGTGTGTGCACCAGGTGTCACTTTGAAAGTTATGGAATACACATATGACGAGGACCTGGAAGAGCTGTGTCCTGTGTGCGGGGACAAAGTGTCCGGATACCACTACGGTCTGCTCACCTGCGAGAGCTGCAAGGTACCACGTGCACGTCACTGAGCAGCACACACACACACACGCACACACACATACGCACACACACGCACACACACACACCCTGTGTTTACATCGTCTATCCAAACTTTAAAGTCAACCTCTCCATTAAAAAAAGATTCTCGGTCATTTAAATATTATTTCAGTTTCATTTTCTCTTCATTTTCTCATTTATTCTCTATTGGAACAATAACGGATCCCCCGACACAATTTATCTCCAGGGAGCAATTTTCATCTCAAAATGTTAAATCCAGCGCCAACCTGCTGTGTCCAACGTGTCTCTGTCCTCCAGGGCTTCTTCAAGAGGACGGTGCAGAACAACAAGAGGTACACGTGTGCAGAGAACCAGGAGTGTAAAATAGACAAAACCCAGAGGAAGAGATGTCCTTTCTGTCGCTTCCAGAAGTGCCTCAATGTGGGGATGCGGCTAGAAGGTACAGTTCACTGGACTCAATGACAACAATAGCAAGATCACAAGAATTATGATCATAATAAAAACGATAATGATTACATTATTTATTTATATTTTACGTTTCCTATTGTCTATTTTAATTCAACTAAATATAAGAACAATGAAGGTTTTGCTGGTGGCCCTCATGCTCCCTACACACATGCGATGGGATTAATTCCGAGACAGCGATGCAGGAAAGCACCTGCTTCCGTAGCAGAAAAAAGGACACATTCTTGACTTACTGATAAAACTCCAGAGACTCCCCTGTTTTAAATCAAAAGCTCTATTTAGACTGTACGAGAAGGAGTAGAGCTGCACAGGCTCTGGAGATTCTTCTCACCCCCCAAAAAGGAAGTTTAAATCACCAACATGTCCGTTACTGGCCGTGCAGGAATAGTCGGGGAAGCTGGTGAAACACTAGTTAGGACTTTACTCTCCTTCGCCAGAGTCGCTGTTTCATCTGTCCACCTGTTTTTCACCTCTTGTCTCTTGTGTGACAGCGGTGCGCGCAGACCGCATGCGTGGGGGGAGGAATAAATTTGGCCCCATGTACAAGAGAGACAGGGCCTTGAAGCAGCAGAAGAAGGCTTTGATTCGATCCAACGGGTTCAAGCTGGAGAGCGCTGCTCCTCCGCCGGCCTCCCCTCTGCACAGTGACTACGGATTCAGCCTGCCCACCATCTCCAAAAGCCTGCTGCCCTCCACCCCGAGCTCCGTCACCCCCACAGAGTACGAGGCTAACCTCTACGGGACCCCATCCCTGGGCATGGCCATGCAGCCCCACGTGCCCCTCGCCTCTCAGTACCAGTACGCGTCCTTCCCCGGCAGGGCGATAAAAGCCGAATGTCCCGACTACACCAGCTCCCCCGAGTCCCTGAGCGGATACGCCTACCCAGACATGTACCCCTCGGCCTCGCCGCAGCCGCCCGGCCTCCCGCCGCTGGTGCTGGAGCTGCTGCGGTGTGACCCGGACGAGCTGGTGGTGCAGAGTAAGATCGTGGCTCACCTGCAGCAGGAGCAGAGCGGCCGGGGCCGGCTGGACAAGCCCAGCACCTTCAGCCTGATGTGTCGCATGGCGGACCAGACTCTATTCTCCATAGTGGAGTGGGCTCGCAGCTGTATCTTCTTCAAGGAGCTCAGGGTGAGTCGCCAGCCATGGTTCATATCCTCACGCTCACAAGAGCACGCACGTCTGGGTGGTGGAGGGCAGCGGCTCGGTTTGCAGCTGCACTCCACAATGTGAAACGTTTTTTCTAGAATGAGCTACGTATGACACAAACTAGAACACAGCTCGGATACAGACGATGTTTAAATGTTTAGTTCCTTTCAAAAATATTTTTGTGTCATTAGAAGATTTGAAATTTGTCAAAATACAGCCAACAGAAATGTACTGCTGCATAAATAAGTAATGAAGGATAAAACAAATGAGAGTAGACCGCAATGAAATACACTCCAGGTGAATTCATTACTTCATGTTCTTTTGTGATTCACAGCTTTTCTGTGATGAATTGTTGAAACGAGGCCTTATTTTATGCTTTTGGGGAATTTAGGAGAAATCAACACAATAATTATTGAAATAAATGGATGCGCTTTTCTAGTCTTGCGACCAATCAAAGTGCTTTAACACCACATGACATCATTCACCCGTTCACGCCCATTCATACACGCAGGAGCCACACACAGAGCCACCTGCCCATCAGTAACTAACATTCACACACTTCACCAATATTCAGAAAATGCCACCCATTGGTTTTGTGCACTAAGATCCAAAGTGGTTCAGAGGGACTTTTCTCCCCGGACGGCATCACGCCGCAGAACTTAAGTTGTAGTTTTAGTTTGGTTACAGGTTTAGGAAAACGGCACAAAACACCAAACACGTGTCTCAAGTCTGCTGGAACCGACCCGACCATATTTCTCTTACAACGCGACACATTGACAGTGATTACAATGCCTTTTTTCTTCAATATCCGTCTTAAAAACACTTCAGTCTGATCAGGAAACTTCTTTGTTGTGTTGAGGCCACAAAATGACTTTTTAGGTTTTGTTTTTGTTTTGAAGTGCTGTAACTGAAGTGCACAAGTTACTAAACTTTGACCTTTTGTTTTCTGGTTGAAAGGCAGTTTTTTGTTTAATCCAATTTGATATACAAGAATCAAAGGTCATTGCAGGCACAGAGCTCTGCATGACGCCAGCCGCTACAGTGTCATGAACGCTTATAGAGTTGGTCGGACATATTAATCAGTCAAGTTGGATGTTTGGCAAAACCATAGACATACACCAGAGGGGTCACAAGAGGGCGGAGCTAAGTACAACGCCCATTAAGACATTTACAGGCAAATGACACTGTGAAAGGGTTAAAGTTGGGGAATGAACACACAGACCACTCCCAGAGCTGTCAATCACTCTTTGCCCCGCCCTAAAGCACATCGTTCTTCATGCTCTGTTTGAAGAAGACTTTTAGATCATTATACACAATTTAAAATAATAATGAACACCTATACTGTGTTTAATGGAAATGAATGTATAAAAGAGATATTTGTATTTCTTCCCTTGGCTCTATTCACTATTACAAATCAAGGATCCTGAATGAGTACTGGATTCAGTATCAGCTTTGTACGGTGTTTCTTCTTGGCTGCTGTTTCCTCAGTGCTCAGTATTGTTTGTTTACTCACACACGCATGATGACTGGACTTACAACAGTGTCCTACTCCTTCATCTCCAGCACTGTGATTGTGCCGCAGACACAGTAGAATTGGACCAACGATGATTCAAACAGGCTCGATATGCCTTCTGCTCGGAGGGAGAATAAGAGACTCTGACAAATCAGAGCCGTGTGAGTCCTCCTATAGTGTGCTGACACAGAAACATCTGTGGACGAGCTACGTTCAGACCGATGAAGCAGTTTACAAAGCAACAACGACTTCTCTAATAATGCTTAGTTACTCAGGTACAGTCAGAAACCTATAACCACATCGGCGTCCTTCCGCCAGGTGATCAAACAAGCTCTATGGCGTTTAGAACCCCTCCGTGTAGCTGGACACCATAGCGACCAGAGCCGGATCAACAGAGCTGCGCACATCACTCTGCAATGTTTCCAGTTCCTGCAGCGTGCATCTGTTTGTTTGTCTGCTGGCTGTCGAACCGGCACCGTGTGAAACTGCAGTACCCTCCGCTCACATGCAGCCGCGATGCTAAACCCAACCACGGCAGGCTTCTATTCTCTGTGTTACGCCATTCTAGAATCATGTGCTCATTCTCACAACAAATATCTTTTAATCCTCATCATGGCCGAGGTTTTCCTGTGGTAATCATCTGCTGAATGGAACAGATTTTGCAACATTTGATCTGCTCACAGGACTCAACTTCTAAACCAAAGTATGAAAACGACTTGGCTGGTGATAGAATTCTTAGTTTCTGTGTCGTTGTTACTGTTCTGTGTCTCATAAAGACACTTTGTGATGCTGAGGAGATGTGATGTATCTTCTTATACTGACAACAACAAGGTATCTTTGTACTGCCTGTGTGTGGATACATATATGGGTTATTTATGTACAAAAAGTCCAATTGGCTGGATGACACTGGTTCCCATTTGCTTTTACATTCTCTTTCAAAAGAACCGTAGCTGTTTTCACTTTTCACACCCTCCGATGTGCAGGAGGTTGTGCAGTAAAACGTAGTCATTTATTTACAGCTCTGCCTGACTCAAAATAAGGCTCACTACTGACTTGAAGTTGCGGCAAGCACGTGTGCTTATGATAATTATGCAGACAAGTTCAGTCATAACATTTTGAGAGTGTGGACGTTCACTAAGAAAGTTTCATCATGCTGTCCATAATCCATTATAAAAAAATGATGCATTTTAATCTGCTTATAATACTGTATAATTGTAGTTACAATAGCAAAATCATAACACATTATAAAGCACTTTAACAATTGCTTGTCATTTAGTTTTTCCTTTGCAAGAATCCTAGAATATTATAATTCCCATAGTTGTGGTACTATTAAAATGTATTATAATGTAATAAAAGTGGAAAAATATCAAGGACTCTATGCCACAACACACGAAACGTAAAATGACTTTTTACAGTTTTAAAAAGGAACAGAACATAATCCGTCGAGTTGTTCATCCAGCTAGCAAAATAACCATTTAATGGAATTGTTCCAAATGGGTTAAGCAAAACAGCGAGGTGGTCATTTTGTTTTGGGAATGCATCATTGTCAGATGCCAGGAAATATGAATCAACATTTAACCTAATTTTGTAACAGTAACAGAAGTCAAATTGTAGCCTGTTTTTCTTTACATGTATACAAGTAATACACATACGTAACAAAACTCCCTAATATCAAATCACAAGAAGAATATATTGCAGCATATTCGCTTGTTGTAATTGACAGTTTTTTTGTTCGTCTTCTTTTTGCTTCCCCGTGCTTTGACGACAGTCGCCATTCTTAGGTACGCACAGTGAGAACAAAGCTATGCATATTTGGCCGAGAGAGGCTCGCACGGACAGAGCTGGGCAGGATAATTACATTCCGCGCAGCCGATAACGGGGAAATGTGCGCTCTCCAATGCTCGGCGCTCGTCTACATTGTTGCTAACTTGTGAGCAGAAGGGAGGCGACTGATTTCTGCAGCTCCCCGTGTCGTGTCTTGATTTGACCTCGCACTCACCTGCTGAGTTATCGAGGAAGTCCACACAATGAACGTCCCACATGTTCAGCTACTGAAGGCAGTATTCACCAGGCATTGAATTTAATATTAAATGCCTTCACTTGTTTGGTTACATAAAACCCTTTGCAGAGTCACATTATTATGCGTTGACATAGTAAGAAGTGCGTAGTCAAGTTCAACCGCGGATTGGCTGAAGGGAAACTGTTTCATAGATTCGGAGAGGCGCATCTCCAAACATTTCTGCCACATCTGCTGTCACTGGTCGGCATTGTCCATGCTGATTAGTTTATACAAATGACTTCTCGGATGCCGGCTTCCTTCCTGCATCCAGCTCAATCCACATCGGTTGAATTGAAAGGTTTTTTTTATAGACAGGGTTCTTACATTATCCATTATGTATATATATCAATATCAATATATGTATATTCTAAAGATTGAGTAACATAACATATCCGTGGGCTAATGCCAGACATTGAATTTATGAAATGCCCTGAACAACATCTGCTTGTGTAACTCCAAATGGCGACTGTCAGCCAAGCAAGTGGACTGAAAGCGTCAGTAAGAGGAGCAACATGTCATAAGAGTAACAAGCTCAACGTACCAGTGAAACTGTTTTTCATTTCTAAATTCAAAATGAGGCTGTTGTTGTTAAGATACAAAGTTGCACAAAATACTGTAGTTCATCGGTCAGTGTAGAGGATTTAAATGAAGGCCTCTAATAGGCTGGCTAGAGAAGGATGCTGGGAAACAGTAAACCTTAAAGGACTCTTCAGAGGTTTACTCACTGCTTATTGCTTCTCTTAAACCAAGTCAGCAGAAAAAGGTCCCATGCTTCATTTCTGCAAGCAGCAGATAAGTTGAATATCAATGTTTCTGACCCCAAATATGTTTCATAAAGTCTTCATAAATGCACAGGGCCACGACGCTGGCAAGCGTATAAGTATTTCTCAAGGGACACAAACGGTGGTACCGTGGGGGAAAGTCCACAGCGGGTTGGACACTTCCACCCGGCTGCTTGCTCTGCTCATCATACTACGCAACTTTCAGTAATTGTTCCACTTCCTTTTCATTTGCTTTGCGCTTAATTACTGACCAATACTGACCAATATCACATATATAAAGAGGATTACAGGGTTTGCAGAACGTTGTCCTCCTGGTCCGTGGTCACTGGTGAGCTCCAGTGAGTGTTGACAGGATTACGATTATATTTACGTCATGATTCTTGAGATTTTGACTTCCTGGCTACAAGATTGAAAATGGCTTAAACAGGCAAAATGAAAATAACGTGATACATCTGACCCAGTTCTACGATTTAACACGGACATTTTTTTCCGAGAGATGTTTGGCTGCAGCAGAGTGTCCGACTGCTCTTTAAGAGGAAGCACAGGAGGTCACAGAGACCTTTTGCTTCCTTAACCCCTTCCTTTATCACTGTAAACCCGGACCACCCCCCCCCAGATGTGGACAACCAGAGTGGACACAACCCTGTGCAACTGATATATAGTTTAATTCATCCGGACAGTAATTCTGTCATCTTGGTGTCGGACCAATGTGTGTCTGGGCCCATTAGCGGCCGTGGCTGCAAAATTGCCGACCGCCATGTCCTTCGGTTTGCAGACAATATCGCAGCGAGGTGGGGCTCAATCTAAAAACACGCCCATCCCCCAGAGCACGGCAGCTGTGACTGGGAGCGGTGCAGTGTTGGGCGGCTGGGGGGGTTAGGGTGAGGTGAGCAGGTTGACGAGGTCTCAGCTGATGCTCTTCTGCACGCAGCACGAGGCTCTGCAATAACACAAACTCCCAACACAGTAAATGAACACGCCTTCTTTTTATGGTCTCCGCGATTTTCACTTGGAACTGTTTTTGGTCACATATTTTGTTACATTTTCGCTCCGTTTAATAGCTTGCCAGTAGAATTGATTGCATTTTGAATTCAATTGAAATTTAGAATCAATTTTTATTGACGAGTGAGTTTTCATTTAAAAGGAATCCAGCAATGTGTGATGTTTCCATATTGTTTGTACAAACAATACAAAATGATAGAAAATACAATTGAAAAATACTTTGAAAAGCGGACATTTATTTTCATTCCCATTCAACATGCACACCGATGCTGTGGGAGACAGTTATTTTTGTTTGAAATGATATTGATCAGGATGTTTGTTTGCTAAATAAAAGAAGTAAAAAAGCCTCCGAATACACATGTATGAACCGAGCGAACCTCTGACTTGCTTTATGTCTTTTCTCTCCCTCTGTGTGTCCGTGCGTGTCTGCTTCCTGGAGGTGGGAGATCAAATGAAGCTGCTCCATAACTGCTGGTCTGAACTTCTGGTCCTGGATCACATCTTCAGACAAGTGCAGCATGGACAGGAAGACAGCTTCCTGCTGGTGACCGGCCAGGAGGTAACAACTCCCTAACACAACTTCCCACCATCTGCTTCATTCGTTTGCACACACTCCTTCAGAACACGGTCAACGCTGTGTTTGTGCAATATTAAATACATTGATGAAAGCAGCCCATTCATCGCATCCCGGGGTTTTCACATACGTACAGCAGGAGATCAGTCGTAATGTTGTCCTAAATATGTTCATTAGGTCATCAGCAAAATCGAACATTAAAACTCATTGAATAATTGTCTCATTCCAAGCATTTTACCAGCTACAGCTGAATGAAATACATCTGAATTAAGATGAACTGTTTATCCCACACATTGCACAGTGTAGGTGGCAATAAAACAGCCCCACAGTCCTATACGTATGCTTCTATATGCTCCTGTTGCCGCTACGAATCACGTTGGGCAGCTGAAGGAGAAACAACATCGGTGTTCTCAACAAACTGCCACCTTCTTTTTCTCCCTGTGGACGTTCCTCGGGGGGGGGGGGGCTCTTCCTGTGTCAATGAGAGGATGTCACATGATGCATTCCTGATTTGTGATTTTGCGCGGTGTGAATTACATTGAGCGGAATTGAATCGTTTCACTGACCCACGTCTGAAGGTGCGCGGAAGATAAGTGAGTCTGTGTTTTCAGGTGGAGCTCTCGTTCATCCTGTCCCAAGCCGAGGCGGCTCTGTCCAGTCTGGTCCAGAGGGGGCAGGAGCTGGCGGCGAGGCTGCGGGCGCTGCAGTTGGACCGCAGAGAGATCGCCTGTCTGAAATTCCTCCTCCTGTTCAACCCCAGTGAGTCGGCTTCGTGTTTGTGGCCATCGCTGTGATGCGTGTGACGACGGTGTGGCTGATTGAGTAAACAGTACAGAATTATTCTCAGTGACCGTCATTTCACACAAATTGTATTTTGAGAAGAGATGCTGTCATCAGAACAAATTGAGGATTGATTTAGTTTTGCTCTCATTTTACAGAAAAATATATGAAACGAGATAAAAAAAAATAGAAAATGAAATACACGGAGGAAGATTATACTTAAGGTGACATAATACAATTTAGATTGTTGTACATCCATCCATCCATCCATTGTCAAACCGCTTATCCTGCACACAGGGTCGCAGGGGGGCTGGAGTCCATCCCAGCCAACTTCGGGCGATAGACAGGGTACACCCTGGATTGGTCGCCAGCCAATCGCAGGGCCAACACAGAGACATACAACCATTCACACTCACATTCACACACCTACGGGCAATTTAAAGTCCCCAATTAACCTGATCCCCAGAGCATGTCTTTGGACTGATTGTACATTCAAGACTTATTGTAATAATTCCAGTTTTACAGCATGTGTTTTGGTCACATCCATCTAATTCTTTCTCACGTGCCAGAGTACTTATGGATATAACACCTGCCGTATATAATGTTCTGGGGGTGTACATGCTAAAAAACAACAGTCGCCACAATCTTCCAATTCAGGAGCCAACAGGACTCTATCTGGTAAAATCAGAATTGGGTGGTTAAGAACTTTTGGAGTGGAGGATTTGGAGACTTTTCTCTCAGCAGAACATCACGGCAAATAAGCAGTTTTGAGTTTGATGTTGATTCATGAAGCCCAAAAAGTTAGTCAGGCTAAAAGAGCTCAAACAGGAAAACACAACATTAGTATAGAGCCTCTTCCTTTGACAGTAGAAAATAGTAATTGATCTGTTGTGACCTAAAAATGAATGTGTTCTTAGGCGTAGACCAGAGTGTGTAGCTCGTAGATTGTGTGTTTTCAGTAGAATGGTGGGGTTCGATGTAAAAATCAAGTCAGCTTGGTTGGGCTCTTGGGTCACGCTGTTGCTCTACTTTGGTGGAATCCGAATAGCAACACTGACATTCGAATGAAAAAAAGGTCACATTCACGGATTATCTGCAATGCCTATTTATCCATAAGGTTACACGTATTTTCCAAAGTGGCCTTTTTCCCTCCAATAAATTCATTTAATTAAATTTCTAGGGTTGACAAAAGCCAACATTGACAAAGACATCCTCCTCAAACATTGTTCACTAATGGCATTCAAAAGAGGCGTAATGGATGGTCCATCATTCGATGGTAGGACCGACATTCAGGCAGTGACTTGTGCAGATGGAGAAAGCGTAGACGTGGCTCGCCCAGATTCTCACAAGTGTTCGCTGTTTAGCGCTGGCAGGCGGGGAACAAAGAGCTTCTGAATGAGGAGAGCACTTGTCACAGACAGAGAACATTTGCTGTCTTTGCCTGCGGCTTCTTTGCTCTCGCTCCCCCTCATCTTCAGAGTCAGGTTTGTCGGGGGGTAATTTAATTGCCCTTAAGCCGTTTGAAAAGATGATTCAGAACATTGATTCAAAACATTTAATTACTGTGTGAATGGATTCTTGAAGATGGGCTCAGCTGATGCTGAATGCCGGTCCAATGAAGGGCATCGCTATTGTCTCCCACAAACACACGCATACACACAGCCACCCACACTCAGTCATAAACTCGCCTTATCTCATTCATAACACATAGATATACCATCAAAAAGCTAACATGACTGCTTCGTATGAACTATGAGAACTGTTTTAAATCTACCTCCTGATATTACAAATTACTGCAAATATATGACCTGTTCACAAGTGCACCATTCTAAGTGAATCTTTAACCTTAAAAGATCCCGTGTTACCCTTTTACATGGAAGCGTGTAGCAGGCTAGCTCACAGACGTTACCTTTGCGGCAAAGGGGGAGGTTGATAAAGGAGCTGAGGGGTCTTTTGTGGATGGATCACCTTCTTGTTTTTAAACTAAACCACAATCTTACCGAAGCCTAACCAAGCACTGTTGGTTGGTAAGTGTAAAAACGAAGAACTACGCAAAGCCACGTTTCTTTTGAAGAACATTTTACACAACGGCTACGACACGTCTGAACCTAACAGGGGTGTTGATCGTCATATCTCGAAGCCTGGGTGAGAATGCGTTGGACCCAATGTCAGCAGATGCAGAGACCCCTCAGGGAGTAACGCTCATGTTCATCCTGTGTGTGTCTGCAGATGTGAAGCTGCTGGAGGACCAGGCCTTCGTGGAGGGCGTCCAGGAGCAGGTGAACGGGGCTCTGCTGGAGTACACTCTGTCCACCTACCCTCAGTTCCAGGAGAAGTTCAGCCAGCTGGTTGTGCGGCTGCCGGAGCTCCGCTCCCTCAGCACGCAGGCAGAGGACTACCTGTGCTACATGCATCTGAGCGGAGAGGTGCCCTGCAACAACCTGCTCATTGAGATGCTGCACGCCAAGCGAGCTTGCGTGTGAGGCACACACACAGGTGGAACCCCGTCATGTGTGTGGGACGATAGAAAGGTTCATATGAGGTCATCTTCTGAGGGCTGCCGTTTGGTTAGAAGAGGAGAACATGTTTTTTAGAGTTTGGAATTATAAATGTCCATCTGTACTCAAAGGTAGTTACATTTTGAATGTTAATGCTTTCCTATCCTGCAGGGCTACATTAATGTGACCTTTATAAACTGGATTTTCTACCTTGTTTTCATAAATCTAAAATTAGAGCTGACTGTAAAGTTACCTTATGTCATCTTTGAATCCGACATCACGAGATATTTTCTACGTCCCACAGAGCTGCCAAGCAATCATTTAGACCCACAGAAATCTTGTGACTGAGGTATCTCGTCCATAGCTGCAACATCATTGGTCATTTCTGAAACATCCATCCATGAATATTGTTCTGACATGACTGGAATACTGTTTCAAACACCACTTTAGAAGTAATTTGTGTATCAAGTGCTGGCCTCATGCCTCATTACAAAACGGGACTATGTGTGTGGCCACACCGATTGAATACTCGCTGGTTGAGCTGACCAACACTGTTCATCGATTGTTGTTTTCTTTCGATGAAGGTTGCCAAACACAACACAATGTGTAGACCAGCACTGCCTGTAATTCCAAAACATATGAAAACTCTTATCAGGTTAAATATATTTAAATTTTAAATAATATTTAGATGTGTTAATATATTGATATATAGAAGTCAGACATATTAAGAAAATCACATTGTTTTGTTGCTGATCATGCATCAAGAGAGAAAAAGTTTTATTTGAAAGATGGAAACAGACAATGAAAAGGGGAGAAATAAAAAATAAATTGTACACACCAACCAGTTATGGATGAAAACATGAAAAAGAGGTAGCCAGGCCCGAGGAACAGAAAGAGAGATGAAACAGGACAACCGTATGTTCGGTTTCCACCGAGGACTCAGACACCACACAGGGGGGGAACGATGCATCGAGGTTTTGGTTTAAACGTTTATTTGTAAAATCTGATTTGTTTTTGCCTCCAAAAAGGAAAACGTCAGTAGTGTCACCTTTCAACACACTGTACAGTAGGATCTCACCATGTACGGTGAGAAGAATGTTTCCCACTGAAGCTGCTTCAGAGATCGTTTTTAGTAGACTACCCATGATGAAGATGACTTTCCAAACTTCTGCATTCTGTAAATAATATTATTGCTTTTTTTGTTCTTTAATCGTCAAAACCCACGACCAAAACCACCAACGTGCCATTACCTTCTTTCCAGCCCCATCTGCGTCACCGTCTCAGAACCATTGAAACGCTGCATTAGTCAATGATTTTGGTGCAGTTGTATATGAAAATTGCATTTTGTCACTGCCAATATTTGTTATGACAATCACCAAGGTTTAAAAGAAAGCCGATTCGTTCCCCCTCAGTATTGTGCTGTTAGGACGCTCGCACTTCCTGCTTCATGTTCATCTCAACACAAGGTGAAACACAGTCTCCTTCACTCCTGATACACATTGTAAATACAAACCAGTGGGTTATGTATCTTGCTGTGCGTCTGCCACTGTAACACACTGGCTGAGTGTCCCGTAGTCTGTCCCCAAAGACACTTAACTGTTTCCCTACAAAACGACCAGGTTAGGTGTTCATCCAAACATACAGAGTCTGTCCGGTGGGCATTTGGCCAGTACCAAGATCAGCAACATGAACATTACCCATTCAAGCCTTGTTTGATGGCTGGTCAGGTTTTTTTTTTACAGTTCCATCCACCGTCCACCCCCCCCTCAGAATTGCTTTAATTAACCCATCTCTTGCTTGGAGTTTCATTTTTAAAGGATGTAAAAAAATCAAAGAGCACACCATCAAAGCAATTTTTTAAATTTAGAGTTCCTTTATTATTTGACCAAAGTAATCCCCATTGAAATGATTAATTAAATGAAGCTTGTGTTATTGCAGAATTCAGTTCTCAGGTCGATGGGTGTAAACGTCATGGGTCAGTAATACTCCCCACTGATGGGAATGTCTGACATATTCCTGTATATTTTATATATTTTTAAGAAGATAGTGAGTCACACATTGGGCCTACCGGCCACATACACAGTGTTGAAAACCATAACACTGTACTGTGTTTGTAGCAGTTAGTGATTCATCTCTGAACTCCCAGATGTTTGTAAGGTGACACATCCTATTTCAAAGCACATGACTCTCAGCGATGTTATAACAGAGCGTCAAACTAAAACGCAGTCCAAGCAGTGTGCGTAATATTGTGCTGCTCAACTTTCTTACTGTGGCGATTTAAAATCATTCCTCGTCCATCCTTTTCAAGGTATCGTAGACAATCACTCCGTCTGCCTTAACTTAATGTCTGAAAAATGCACACACCCCTTGGTATTCCAGTCGAGATAGCTGTGTGTTCACTCTGTACAGTGTATTTATGTTGTGAAGTGACTATCGAATGCAAGATGAAGATACATTTCAACGCAAAAAGTTCTCTGCTTTATGTCGAGGTCAAATTGCTACTGTTGTGGAACTGATTCTATTGATATTGCCTTTGTTTTTGCTATTTGTTCACGTTTTATTTTCCTGTGAGTCCCGTCTTAAACCGAAGTTTTTCTCTCTTAAAAGACAAAGTGACCAACACTTTTTTTCTTTCAATATATTTTATTGTAATAGCATCAAACCAATAAATTTCAGTGAAGTAAAGCTCCACTCGTGTGTCTATTATTTCACAACATTTATTAGTTGTGCACAAACGAGACATAGATCATGAGTAGAAGTCTCCTCGGTCATCGTGTGGCTGTTGTTAGCCTCCTTGGACTTAACTTAACACATACATGAACAATATCAGTTACACTCTAAAACATTACATTCAGTTTAAAAAATAATACTCAAAAGTAATCACCATTTAATGTACCGTCAGATGGACAGTATAGTCGTTGAGACTGACATCTGTAAGGTCTAAAATGGTTTTATCACACCTGATAAGAGGATATTTTTTTTCATTCATACGCACTGATTACATTTCATGGTGGAACAAAACTCTTTGGAGGGAAATTAATTTGGACTCACAAGTGAAGGCAAACTAAAGAACATAAGCTGCTGTTGCCAATGACAGCGGTGTGGGGCTTAATACCTGTAGCCCCGCTGCAATTTGATTGGGTATTTGCAAAGTACTATTTATCTTCATTTGAAGAACAAATTAGTAATAATATGTATTTTTAATCAATAAGATTAATTGCATTATAATGAAAGATATTAATTATCTTAAGAATTATCTTATCCACCAAAAGAAACGGCAGTACGCGTGAACAGAGATAACACATTTCCAGCAATTACAGCAAATACAGTAACAGTGACCAATGATTGGGATGCGTTTTTTAATATATACATCAGTAACTGCAACAGGATTCTTGGCAGGTCAATCTATTTACAGTACAAGCCCAACAAAGGCACCAAAATGTCCCCATTGAACATTTGAGGAAACATTAGGACAGAAGAGAAGCAGTAATATCTGTCAAACATAAAAATAGTTGTTCCGTGGACTTGTAAGACTACTTTAAGAAGCATTGTACAACCCTTGTTTATAAAGTAAAGGAAGCGTTGCGGTTAACTTAGGTTTCCCCGACAATGCAGATGAAAAGTATTAAATTCACGCTGAAAAGTCAGCAACAATTGTTTCCAGGAACATTTTTTCGAGCTATAAACAAGTTATAAACATGTAATTTTTCACACTGTATATGATGAATCCCATGAAAAAAAAATCCATTTACGTCTACTGTATCTAGTCCAAAGTTGAGGATGAACAAAAACTATAGACTTTTTATCAAATATGGCTGCCAGTGAGTCAGCACCATCTCCTAAAACATTTATGTTTGTCATTTTGCTTTTCTTCATCCTGCCTACATGCTTACTTTACTCCACACTCATCCTCCCTGCAGAGTGTGTGTACTTGTGTGTGTGTGCTGGCAGACGGTGCACTTCCTCGGACGGGATCGACATGTGTGCCCATCGTAGTGCACGCTTGTTGTTACTGAGTATCAGGATCCACTCCATTGGCAGTTCAACAACCTGCAGTGAAATGAAGTAAAAGGCGTTAGCTCTGAGTGTGTTTGTGTACAAAGAGACAAACAGAAAGGAGGGGAATGAAAGGCAGAGTGGGAGAGAGAGCAGGTGTTGGAGTGGTTAATGGCTGATGAGCCTGAATAGTCAGGACCGTCCATTCCTGATTAGGGGAATTAACTTCTCCTTTGTCTCATTGGTCAACAATAAACCCCACGCAGCACTCAAACACCCTCCATCAGGCGTTATTCACAGACGGCTAAACACTTAATGAATGTGCAAACTTAATTTTCCTTACTGCCAGGCAATTCAGAGCAGTGACTCGGCCCTTTGGAAGTATGGGAACCATCTGTTGTATTTGCCTGAACATTCAAATCACAAAAGACAGTTGGGGCATTTTTCACACAGGCCTAAATGTTGTGTCCTTTAGGTCAATGGAGACAATCCAGGGAAAGTAACCCGTTTTGCTCTTTCCTAAGGGGTCAGATCAGCCTAAATAATTGCAAATGCACACAGAAAGACTCACAAAGGCAAACAGAAAGATGAACAAATAGGCTCGGAACAACTCACAAATATATCCAATATACAAATGCAAACAGACAAATAAATGAATTCTCACAAATGCATCCAGATTTGTATGTATTTGCTTGTGGACTGCTTCACATTTTTTTAATACTCCCCTGACGTGGTTGGATTCACAAATACGTTTTTTTTCAACATAGACCAGTAAGACAATCAGTCACCCTCATTTTCACATCAGTGCAGCTCCCCCCGCCCCCCTCCCCACGAGGCTGCCAGCGTTATCACCAAAAGCGAAGCAAACTATTTCCAAGGTAGATTCCATGCAAAGTCAATGCACAGACGCGAATGGTTGCGTAGGAAGCGCATTGTCAACGGGCGGCGTGGAGGGCGCAAAAAACGTGGCGCGAAAGACACAAAAAAAGCAAAAAGAGCGAAGAGAATAAATCGCCCGACACTGTCTTGTGAGATCCAATCAGCGTTGAGATCATCATCAGCACCGCCCTGCTGCCCAAGGAACAGCCACTCACCGGAAACAGACAGACATGTTCCCGCTACTGAGAATGAACGCCTAGTTGGTATCTAACGTTTGTGGTTTCCACAACAAATAAAAAGAAGAAATAGTTATTTCCATGGTGGATAGCGGAAATGATGGTGGTGAAGTAAACTTGTGCAGGTAAAGCATAGCGAAAATTCGCTTTGCTTTTGGTGTGAACGCAGCAATAATACAATAACTCTTACTACAAGCGTTAGTTTGTTTTGCAATGTAATGCATACAGACAATCTAAGCTCATAAGCTAACGTTAACTTAACGTAACGGTGTCCTAACTGAGGCAGCTTTTAGATGACTATGCCGTAAAACTAAAGTTAAAATTTTCTCAACCAGAGTCGGTAAAAAGACGCTAATGGCGACGAATTAGCTGTGAGCTGGTATCACCCTGATCTGGACAAACGCCCATCGTCATTGTGAACATCATTGCAATCATTTTTCATAGGTGGATTAAATATTGGTTAAAGGGTTGCCAAAATCAATCCTGTCTACATATCCGGAAACCCAATTCTGACCTTTTACAATATACGATATCCCGCCCCAACACCTCCGCGCAATAAAAGCTCTTTCAAAAACTATTTTCTCTCATGAAACTTTCCTGCAGTAGTTAGATATGTAAATGTATATGTTCACGAGACTTGACACGTACATTCATTGACATGTGTGAATTAACATTACCAACGTTTTCAAGGTGATCAACGTAGAAGTATACCGGAAACACCGTCAAATTGCGTCTGTCCAGGTCAGGGCAACATATGCTTTTGCTGTCCAGGTTAGGATACCGTTTCGTTACAAAATTCCCACAACGTAGTTTCGCCAGTAATTTGTTTGAAAATAGCTAGCTTGTTTAAAGATATAAATGATAACATGAATTTAATTGAATTTGATTGTGTTTCTGAGTTCATATTGGCCGAAGTTGGCAGGATAGACTCCCGCCCCCCCTGCGACCCTGTGGGCAGGATAAGGGGTATGCAGATGGACGAACGATTGTGTTGAACATCTCCTACTTTCCTCTACGTTTAATTTGGATTCAAGTCATTCTTAAATGATGCTTCTTATGAATATTAAGTTAAAATCCTTGTCACAAAGGGGTATGCTGAAAAAGACGCGAATGGAATAGATCAAGTAATGCAAGAGTTGTACCTGACGGCTTAAACCCAGTCAGCTGGACCACCTGTTTGAAACAAAAAGAGATAAAGAATCCTGCGTCATCTAAAACAGTATGACAACAATGTAGGGATGATGCATAGAGTATGTTACTTACTTGATTTTCTGATGCCGGTTTTAAAGAGAAACTCACAAAGCTTTCCTTGCTGAAGCTCTCTGAAAGACAAAACACCTTTTTGTATTATAAACTTTGCGTCTTGCTTTCAGGACCAACACATGCAAGGTCAAATAATTCAAGAAAGAGACATACAAGCTACACAAAGCACAAAACAAAGACAGCTTTATAAAATACACGAGGAAACATGAATGAAAACAATGTGAATGACAAAAGAACATTATGAGAATCTCAGTACACCTTTGGACCCTTTTGTGCACAAATATTTGTTTCTCTTTCTTGATTTTTGATGTCTTTCATGTAGCCTTGAGACAAATTGCTGCTAATGAGACAAACCAGGATACAAAATGTAGTGAAGTCAACTGGCGCGAGCGGACAGCAGCCCCACTCCGCCATTGCCACAACTCTTTGTGTCCGGCTTTGCATAATTAATGCTTACTTGTAATGTTATGGGCAACATATTACTACAACATATTCCAGGCTCTTCTTCATAATCACGATAGTTCCTGTCGAAGCGAGCCACATACATGCCAATTTGTAAATCAAAACATCTGCTAAGGATATTTTAATGATATTGGAGCTTGCGATCGTGCCGACGTTGATTGTGCAAGACACCCCAAACCCCTGATAACATGCGCTATTAAAGCTCTTTGAGTGGTCAGAAGACTATAACTTGCATCCTTATGCAAATAATTTCCTTGCTGTCATTGTTCACGGGATGCAGTTGAATATACCTTTTTAGCTTATCAAGATTCCTCATGCTTATCATAGAGTCAATACTAGCAGGATTCATGTGGATGAAAAAGAGTAAAGAAAAGAGTAGAATAGAACAAATAAAAACAACAGTCAATAAAAGAAACGGTCGACAAATTCTCATTCTCAATACCAAGAAGCATCAGTAAAAGCAAAACAAGTTAGGGCTCTGACAGAGAATTGAACTGTTGCTAAATAGAACCAAACAGCCCATCTACATTATTTCCCAAAGGAAATATTGATACTGAACAATTTCAATATGATGATGATTTTAAAGAAGCCGTGGCTCAAAGATCAAGTATGCAATTCAAAATCGTTCTCCTCACCTAAAAAGCCCTAATTGGCAGCGTCATATATTAAGGAGCTTTAGAGTATTGCCATAAGAAGGGGTCTGCGCTCAATAGATGCAGGGTTACTTGTTCCTGGAGTCTTAAATAGTAGGATGGGAGCCACAGCCTTCAGTTATCAACCTCCTCTTTTGTGGGACTTCACTTCACTTACTTTTATAACTAATAGTTAGGGCTATTATTAGGATAGTTGCATTTTTCAGCTCATCTTTAATAATACCAGCCCATACCAGAACCCCACCTCCACCTTGCTGGCGCCTGAGTGGAAGTGGAGCTCGGTGCACTGGCTTCACGTTTGATTCTTCTCAAATCCTTGGAGGTTAACTTCTTTTTTTCTCCACGCGTTTCTTGCGACTCTTTTGACTATTTGCAACAAAACGTTTGATTGTTCTGTGATCACGCCACAACATCTCCGCAATTTCAAGAGTGCTGCTTTCCTCTAAAATACTTTTTACAATGTTTGACTTTTCAGAGTCAGTTAGATCTCTTTTTTTGCCGCATTTCGCCTGAGGATAAGAAGCTGCCTAATAATGATGCACACCTTGATATAGGGTGTTGATCCCCTTGGGCCACACCTTCCCTCATTACACAAATATACATCACCAGGTATGCTCAAATCCAATTAGCACTCAAGTTCAAACAGATTGGAGGTGTGAAATATGCATACAAATGATGATATGGTCAAAATCCTCACTTGCCTAATAATTTTGCACACAGTGCAGACTGACCAAAATGACCAATTCATGGAAAATAGTTATTCACATAATGAATTATGAAAAACTACTACTTGGATGTAGTAGAATAATAATTATAACAATAGCAGTAATGGTGTCGACAATAGTAATGTTGCTACTATAAATGATGCTCTGGACCGTTGTCCTGCCTCGTGACATGGCCCTGCTGACACCTGTAGCTATTAGCATTATTATTATTGGTCACATTACTCTCATCTTGTGAGGAATGAGCCTGGAAGACGTTCAAATTAGGGAGTAAAATCAAATAAATTAAACTTTTACGTTGGCATGGTAACGTTGCAGCAATGGCTTGTCCCAATTTTTATTTACTCCCCTTTAAGCCCGTACAATCTCTGACACCAAGTTTACGGCTCCACATTCCACTTTTATCTGTTCATCAATCGGGGGTTAAGACATTAATCAGCGTGTCCCACCCGGACCATCACCTCTATCAGATAAATATTGTCGGGCTGCTTTCAGGTGTTCTTCAATTCATAACATTGTTTCGTTCTCTTTGTGTTCCCCTGTTTAGTTATTACCAAACATTCTGTAATAGTGGCGAACATGTCAGGATGTTTCCTATGGGTATAAGAATATACAGCGTTTGCAGCTTTACTCCAACTTTATGCCCAGACAACCTAAAGTCACTTCTCCAAAGCCCTCTACAGGCTTGGCTAGGTGAGGCTTGAAGACATGTTCATGATAAAAAGGAACAATGAAAAGGTTGTAAGGTTCTACAGTCCCCTACATTCTATAGGTGCCAGTGTTGGGCTTTTGTTTAGTGGATTTCTTTTTTTAATCTGTATTTCCCGACCTTGTGATTATTATCGGCTCCGCCCCTGATTGTATTCTGCAGTGTCTAATTGAACCCTGTGTCTGATTTTTATTGTGTTGTTGGCTACTCTGGTCCGCCCTCTTGTTACTATGTTGTAGACTCCTCTGACCCTGTTTGTGGGCTTCCGTGTTTATTGCTAAATGTCACCAGTACTCAGCCCTCTGTTTCCTCCTGTCTATCTGGGGTTGGGTCATCCTCATCACCACCTCCGTAAGTCCATGGTTCTTAAGTTATGTCACTACGAGTACAGTTGTTTGGGACTTTTAATGCCAATATAAAATTAGGTTTTATGGTTTCATTTTAAATTAAGAAAGGCGGAGTAATGCCCAAAAGCCGTATGCTCAGAAGTTATCCATATTAGCACAGCAAATAAAGTCTACAAGCAGGATCCTGCCAGCCTCACTCAAGCAGAGTGTCCGGTCACTGGTGACCTCATCACAAACCAGAATAAGATGCTCAGATGGCAAAACGGCAACCCTTGCACACTCTTTGACTTGGGAGTTGTGATTTATGTCCAGCAGTGGCCTCGTGAAAGATAACACGGTCAGTGGTTCTCAGACACTTGTCTCCCTCTACTACAGCTTTGATATAATCTGCATTGTGTGAGATATCTGGCTGAGGAAGCTTTCAGATCTGGGTTCAGCAAAGGAAACACAGACCCCTCACATTTGGGCATAAATTAGCTGCATCTTAAGTCATCATTACAACACTTCAGGTGCTCAAGTGCTCACTCCATGAATCTATTCGAATCGGAATAAATGGATAGTAGCTCACTATGGACACAGCTGACGGCTTTTGGTTAAATCCCCTTAATGCAATTTGAATGTGATTATTAGGCAGGGACTTATGAGGTGTTACCAATAAAAAATACATTTTCTTCATGTTAGTCACTCTATTGGTTGTCAAATTGCCTGAACCTAACTACACGCGACAACAGTTCATTTCAAAAGACATTATTTATGCAATTAGCCACCAATCTGGCCATAACTAGCCATTTAGCACCAAACAATACAGACAAGACAAGAAGAAATGGGTGAGGCAGTGCGAGGAGAACGTCCAGAACGCCCTCATGAGGGGTCTCGACCGCATTGTAGTTTAGCGGTGGGAAAGACTCGCTTGTAAACATGCACTGGCTTTTTAGATTCCTGCTATGGAAACTAATCTTTGCCATTAGTGTACATTTTCAGTTTTTAAAATAATTTTCCCTTAAATAACATATAACGTGAGACCTAACGCACAATCCTCACAAAATGCCCCGAGACTGATACGTAACACTTGAGTAATGTTGCACACAGTACACACATCATTCAAGGGGTGCCAGCCTACCGTTTTTGATGACCAACGATGTGTAGGTGGAGCTCGCGGGTCCAGAGGTCTCACTAGTTTCGGGGCTGGAGGGGGTTGGTGGACTGCGGCCCCAGGAAGTCACGGGAGCCCTCTGGGAAGGTAAGAAGCTGGTTGGCTGGGAACAGTTCTGAAAATACACCACAATCAGCTCAGCAGTAACTTAAGAGAAATGACTTTATCATAAAGTGTGATGTACGGACTACACTGCAACTACACTAAAAAAATGAGAAAACAAAACCAAGTTGGACCTTCACTAAAATTAACATTTGTAAAGAGAAATGTATTTTCCATCCTGTACCGATGGACCTGATCCCTGCTGTGTGCTTTTTACAAACTCACCGTGAAAGATAAGGCCTTTCTCTTTTCTTTGATCCTCTTTATGGCATTCCTCACCTAAATTAGAAGCAGTGTTTACACCCACTGGTTTGTCCAAAAGACTGGCAGCCTCACGTAGCGCACAAACATTAGGATATTCTGCCGTGGTAGCAGGCGACAGCAGCACTGAAAATGGACTGAATTCCCCCGTACCTCACTGTTGTAGACAGCATACACTAAGAAGATATACAGGCCCTGCGGAGGGAAGAGAGGCACATTAGCATGTGCAAAGGGGAACATTTCAATATCATGCATTTGGTTTTCATCGATACCTTCAGTATCAAGTCTGCTCACACTTATAGGTAACTCTACTTTTCTCTTCACCAACAATTTACAATGTATTGCAAAACACCATTTCATTCAATCAGTGTGGTTTTCTACTCCGTTTTTTGCATGGTTTTGGTCTTTGAAGGGGACATATTATGAAAATCCCACTTTTTGTGCTTCTTCACGTTTATTTCTTAATCTGCCATGTCGACCGACCATAACGTCCCTGTGAATTGTTGTGGTTCTTGTAAGTCAGAAACGTCATGCTTGAGTGACTGGAATGAACTTCCTTAACATTGTGTCGTCATAATGTAATGGGAGTCTGTCCTTGGCCCCCTCCCCACCTGGATACACTTGGAATAGCTAGCTAGAGGGGGGGCTGTGCTGGCTCATTAGCATTAGGACCTGAAACGGGCCGTTTTGACCAGAGATGTTTTAGACAGGCTGAAAAGGATGCTGTTAATAATGATCCTTGTGGTATCTTGGCCAAATTATATTTAAGACATTTAATTCAGACCACAGAACCATATAAACATATAAACTGGTATAAACTGGTAAAAGTGCATAATTTACTTCCTGTATGTCCAGTGATGTAATCGGCAACTGGCAATACTAAAAAATCTATGAGCCTTTACCCATCATGAAGGCTCTTCAAGTAACAACAAACCCCTTTTCAGATCGGTTTATTCTAAATAGGAAGTACATAACCTACACGTTGTCACTGAGGCAGGAGCATCTTTTAATTACCACTCAGTCATTAATGCTTAACGTGTTGTTAGTTGCATTACTGTCAAACCACAGAGGGCGTACAAACAAAATGTACTGGGAAGAAGTGTAGCCGGGCAAACGCCACATATCAACCGTCACAATGTAGAGGAGGAACTGAAATGACTACGGTAATGCCTTTTATACATGCCAAGTTTTAAATACATTTAATATTCACATCTTGAAGGCTCTGATCATGCACGGTACACATGCAGAAATTCAGAGAAACTTGGCTTAATAAGTATCATATCAGATTTAGAATCAGAAGCCATTCTTTGCCACATATGTTACACATAGAGGAATTTGACTTGATGCATTGGTGCAATATAAGAATAAAATAAGATAAAGATATACAAGCAGTTTACACGGTGAGATGGTGAGAGAAACCACTGTGCAAATGGTCCGGGGATAAAGTATTTGGGTCAAAGGGGGACATGGACTTGGTTCAAGAGACCAACTGATATACTGTATGTGAATATAAAGTATGCTTACAACAAACTCTAAGCTATGTACATAGTAACATGTGACCCAATGATGGGACAAAATATCTGAACGTGACACAACGTCATGTCGTCAGTAAAAATCCCTACATGCTTGGCTGTACATGGGAAACGAATGCTGGCATGTGAGAGTGATTAGAAGACTTATCGCTCTCTTTACTGTCAGTTTCTCCAAGTTCAATAGTTACCTGAAATAGGGTTCACATTTTAATGAGTTAAAAGTCTGGTTCATCTCATACACATGTTAAAAGTGTACCTGCATACTTGGTCAGTCAGCGTGATTTTCCTCTTGTTGCAGTGACATACATTTAGCAGCCACACTGCAGTGTGTTTACTTTTTAACTACTGTTTAACCTGCGCCACAACATCTCCGACAGTACACCTAATAAGTGACATGGATCAAAAAGTCAGTGGCAATACAGACATTGGTGGACAGACGCAGAAGAGGCAGAGTTGGTGATATTAGAGATATTAAGCGTAATAAATAAGAACACACTGCATGCTATTAGTAATGCCAGTTTTGCCATCAGGCTTTGCTGTGTTGGCCTGTAGACTCTCTCTGTCATACTTTGCTCTAATAGACTGTTGAAGCAGCCCGGTAAAATCACTTTTCTTTATAAAAAGACGAGGATGGCTGGCCCAGCATCCTCCTCCTACCAACATGAGGAAGAACTCCTTCTGTAGTGTTATCTGCTCTCAGCTGGACACTGGCAGTAAATCTGAATTAACTAGCAGCTCTCTGGAGGTCACCCAGGGGCTAGCTCATTTTGATTAATTAAAGACCTGGGAAGAGCACGGAGGGGTGGGTGGGGTCAAAGACAAGGAGAGAGACTGGATGAAAAGTATAAGCGAAACAGGGACAGGGTATAGAAAAAGGTTTATGTGAGAGAAGAGTGTCTAAGAGAGGAAGTAACTGCTGTGTTATCAGGGGAGGAGAGCTGGGGGTAAATGTGGTTCAAAGGGCTCTTGGCTTCTCCTACACACACACATGAACAGTGGCCCCAGCGCACAAGTAACTCATTATACTCACACAAACACACACACACACATAATATAACCCATGCATTAGTGTATAGTGCCAAATATATTTGGATTGTGCCACAATTTTTCTAAATGTTGCCCTGAAGTAGTCAGTATTTAGTTAAACATTCAGCATTAATTCAATGGATTTAACAAATACACCGCATTAACCGTTTAGGAATTACAGCCATTTTCACACAGTCATCCCCATTACATTACAGGTCATTTAGCTGTCGCTTTTATCCAAAGCGACTTACACTACATTTTTAACCCATGGATTTTCTAAAACATTTTTTTATTCTAATTAAACAGACAAAGGGTCTGAAGTTGATAAATAGTTCAATTCCTAAACTGTCTATTGAATTAAAGCTCAAAGCTTACACTTCAACAAAATATTGACTTTTTTAGTAACGGAAAGAGGCAACATACACAGTCCAAGTACTTATAGCCCTCACTGAATATATTTATTGACAATGATTATCAAATGGTCAATATTTAGTTTCTAATTTCTAAGACATTTTACTGTAAAAGGTTAAAGAGAGGCCTTCGGGTTTTGCTACGATGTGTTACATTCTAACATGATAAAAAAATTAGACGTTACGTTCAATATTCGTACACCTAGTATTCAGTGAATATTTATTTAACAAGATTAGCTAAATGAGGTAGTTAACCTCATAGCAATAAACGTGTGTCTTTTATTATTCATGTGAGGATGAGCAAAACATTTTGTTGTCCCTAAAAATTACAAAATGTAATCGATATGGATTTGCCTCTTTTAATAGTTGAACCAGGATTTTCCAATGTTATCCACATGGTACAATGTTAACCACCATGATTCAACAATGTTATCCACATGGTACAATGTTAACCACCATGATTCAACAATGTTATCCACGTTTTACAATGTTAACCACCGTGATTAAACAATGTTATCAACGCGTTAAAAAGTTAACCACCATGATTTAACAATGTTATCCACATGTTACAATGTTAACCACCATGATTTAACAATGTTATCCACACGTTACAATGTTAACCACCATGATTTAACAATGTTATCCACGCGTTACTATGTTAACCACCATGATTCAACAATGTTATCCACGCGTTACTATGTTAACCACCATGATTCAACAATGTTATCCACACGTTACAATGTTAACCACCATGATTCAACAATGTTATCCACATGTTACAATGTTAACCACCATGATTCAACAATGTTATCCACGTGTTACAATGTTAACCACCATGATTTAACAATGTTATCCACATGTTACAATGTTAACCACCATGATTCAACAATGTTATCCACGCGTTACTATGTTAACCACCATGATCCAACAATGTTATCCACGCGTTATAATGTTAACCACCATGATTCAACAATGTTATCCATGTGTTACAATGTTAACCACCATGATCCAACAATGTTATCCACGTGTTACAATGTTAACCACCATGATTTAACAATGTTATCCACGTGTTACAATGTTAACCACCATGATTTAACAATGTTATCCACGTGTTACAATGTTAACCACCATGATTCAACAATGTTATCCACGTGTTACAATGTTAACCACCATGATTCAACAATGTTATCCACGTGTTACAATGTTAACCACCATGACTAAACAATAATATCCACGTGTTACAATGTTAACCACCATGATTTAACAATGTTATCCACGCGTTATAATGTTAACCACCATGATTCAACAATGTTATCCATGTGTTACAATGTTAACCACCATGACTAAACAATAATATCCACGTGTTACAATGTTAACCACCATTATTTAACAAAGTTATCCACGTGTTACAATGTTAACCACCATTATTTAACAATGATATCCACGTGTTACAATGTTAACTACCATTATTTAACAATGTTATCCACGTGTTACAATGTTATGCACTGTGATTTAACAATGTTATTTATGTGTTAAAATGTTAACCAACCGTGTGTTACAATGTAAACAACAAGGGTGAAACCATTTGATTTGGTGGCATATAGTAGTTCCACTGCGCCCCCCACTAAGGGTTGCAGGCCCCAGTTTGGGAACCATTGCATTAAGATAAGCTATCAAAGGAGGGGGGCCTCTGCTTAATTGCCAAATCGGATCATGTTGTCTAATGGTATTCTGTATTAAAAAGTAAACTCCCAGTTTGAATTATTACATTGGTCCAGCCGTAGGTTGCTTAAAACATATTCATCTGAGTGTTTCCTTGTCAGATGTGTCTAGGAGCTGATTCTGGCTGTGCTTTGGCTGTGTGCTGTCTGCAAGTCATGGGTTTTCTCTTTTTATAGTTTGATATCAAACCCCCAAAAAGGTTATAAAAACATCGAAATACTTTGAATACCTTTAACCCCCAACATGGTGTTTCATGCAACCTAACAAATAGAATACAGAATTCACTCCTTTGGTGAGCTCTGGTTTTATTCTCTACCAATCCAATCTCTGTCCCTTTGAATGCTCAACCTGTGGCACACTAAGACTGTTTTTTGGCCTCTTTTCCGAATATGGCACACCCATAATAAAAACTTTAGTAACTCTATAACTACTTTGTCTATCTGCACATTTCTGTGGGGATTAATGGGAACCCTTATTAGTCTTCTGATGTGTAAAAATATGTTCATATAATAAAGGTCATACAGCTGCCTGCGGCTGCCGAAAACCAGCATATGAGTGCGGTGAGTTTGTTTACCTGGAGTGCATTGAGAGTGATGAAGATATAGGCGAGTACTACCGACAGATGGACCAGCACTCCACACAGCCAGGTCAAACCCAGAACTGGCAGCAAGATGAGAACTGGACGGGTCACAGCCCTGGAAAATATACACAGAATGCCCACAGATGATTTGTTAGTGGACATACAGTATGTGGATTAATTACTCTCAAGTAAAAATGCATGATTATTAACAGACCGCAGGAAAAAAACTTGTGTTCCGACTCCTTTGATTCCCTTAGTGATCTGATCTCTTTGTCAACCAGTATACAAAACACAAGTAAAGGGCCAGTAAAGTGGAGTTTTCAAGGTATTTTGATGACCTCCTTGAATATTTCCTCCTTGAATTCTGATCATACATATCTGCACAGCTATAGATTTGACCGCCTACCACATACTCCTGTTTCTTTGCAATCATCCGTTCTGTGGTCCTGGTGCTTATACGACCAATAACCGTTCCATGGGGCAAGGCAGAAAAGGTTGCCTTTGTTCGAAGCACTATTGTTGTCACACTGCTGCACCTGGGTAGAGAGATTGAGTTTTCATAGTGCGCCATGTCTGCAAGGACAAAGCCAGCACTCACGTCCCTCTCTCCCCTTTTATTTTTGAAAGTTGTTCTCCCTCTAATCTCCTGAATTCACGTAATACTCTAGATATAGCACAGACATGTATTTTCACTCCGTTTGTGAGAGAATGAAGAGAGACAGTGAGGGGAGGGGGGCGTTTGTGAAACTGTCCTCAGACATAAATATGCAAAGGAAGAATCTGGGTGGAATAGAACCCGTGCTTGTTTGTTTATGACTCATCGCATATGTGGGCAGCACGGTGGTGCAATCGTTAGTTGTTGTTTTCTTTCTTTGATTGAAGGACCTTTTACCCCAAAATGAAGACATTCCTCAGCTATAAGCCATATTAGCAATTCCTTTTAATTCCTGTGTGCTGACCGGTTTTCAATCTAATTCGTATGCTATGCTGATTGAAAAATGCAACAAATAGTGTGTATTTGTTTGGGTTTCAAGACATCGGTCTCAGAGATTTCTGCCTTTACCCATATACCATGGAGGGGAATTCTATTTCATTTGTGTTTGAATATGTTTCGTCCCTAAATAATGTCCCTATTGCTCTTGACTGTGATTTCACAGTGAACTGTTCATTGGGAATATTTAACATGTATCATTCACTCACACACAGATGGAAGAGGCTGCCAACCAAGTGCCACCTGCTTGTCAGTCTAGTCCAATCATTGCCACATTCTCCCTAACCGATCCATTTGTGCGTTCAGTGTCTTGCGTAGTATAGGAACCAGGAATCGAACATTCGATCATTAGTGGATGACCTGCTTTAAATCCCTTGGATAGAAGAGCCTGTTCTGCCATGGCTTTAATGGCTCAGTGGCTTAATTGTTGCCCCCAATACCAAACAACTAGCAGAGTGATCTTATCCCAGCATAGCCCCCCTTGGATGAAGACTTCGCAGCCCACATTCCAAAGACAGCTGGCTGGTCAAAGTGCTGGGGCTATAGAGTGTGGGGCAGCTGCCCTTCAGGTGGTATCGCTGGAGTTAATGGACATGAAGGGCCTGCAGAGCCGGAGGACCTTTACTTCAACCTCCTCCAGCTAAAGGCAGTGCCTTGCTCTTGCAACACTTTGGCCCCTGAAACAGGCAGGGCAAGTTTCCATTTGATGGACTTTCTCTACTGGTGGTATAGACCATGCAGGCAGCAAGAGCCTGATGCAACACCTTGTCCGTTCAGTTGCTTGTGCATGGCAGGTTCCTTTTCAGGATCCTTCTCGGGCTTGATACACCAACGTGGAAGAGATGATGCTTCTGAGCTACTTCACAGAAGGACGCCGTTAGACCTATCCATTTTCTTACGTCTTTATTTGTTGACTGCTTGATATGAAAAATTTGAATAGAACTACTTTATTTTTACACAGCGGCTGTACGTTGCTAGGGGGGCCTATGCAGAGTACAAGGGTCTTCACGGCGGCTGAACATACCCAATAGAAACAGCTTTCAGATGACATATCCTATAGTATATAAAGCCACGGACAAGATAGAGAAGTCTTGTAATAAGGGTAGATTGGATAAAGATCCACAATGATTAATTTAATTAATGATTAATTTTATTTCTTTGAGAAATACAACCCTATGGGTTTTAGTTGATCATTAATTAACATGGAGACAACATAGTAACTATAATTAAATATTTCAAAGTCAAAGTCATGTCTCAGCCTCTCGGTCCATCAGCACCGGTTCCCCCCGAGGCTGCGTTCTTTCCCCTCTGCTCTTCTCCCTGTACACCAACAGCTGCACCTCCAGCCACCAGTCCGTCAAGCTCCTAAAGTTTGCAGATGACACCACCCTCATTGGACTGATCTCTGGTGGGGATGAGTCCGCCTACAGGTGGGAGTCTGACCATCTGGTGTCGTGGTGCAGCCAAAACAACCTGGAGCTCAACGCTCTGAAGACAGTGGAGATGGTCATGGATTTCAGAAAGAACGCAGCCCCCTCCACGCACCCCCCCTATCACCCGGAGTGACTCTACCATCACCACTGTTGAGTCCTTCCGTTTCCTGGGCTCCATCATCACCCAGGACCTCAAGTGGGAGCAGAACATCAGCTCCGTCTCCAAGAAGGCTCAGCAGAGGTTGTTCTTCCTGAGGCAGATGAAGAAATTCAACCTGCCAAAGACGATGATGGTCCACTTCTACACGGCCATCATGGAGTCCATCCTCTGCTCCTCCATCAACGTCTGGTACGCTGGTGTTCGCTTCAAGTACCCCTGACAGAAACTGTTTATGCCCCTTCTATCTGGCAGGAGACTGAGGTCCATCAGGACCAAGACCTCCCGCCACACAAATAGTTTCTTCCCATCGGCAGTTGGGCTCATCAACGGACCGTACACATACATACACTTGATCACTTACTGTTGTGTTATTTTCATCTTATTTTCCTCTAGTTTATATTCTACCCGCCATGTCAAATTCCTTGTATGTCTAAAATACTTTGGCAATAAATGTTCCTGATTCCTGATTGAATCCTGAGTGCAAATTATTTTTATTTTATCATTCTATTTTCTTGAGTATATCTGAATTGATATTGAATGTAGGATAAGCATATATAAGTATTATGTCTCGGCATAAGCTCCACTGTTGTGGTTGAATAAGATACTGGTTGAACTACTCAAACTGGCACATTTTTTGCGTATTTTCACAGGATATGTTGATGGTAAGAACATTGCCAACCTTATCCATTAATGTGGTTATAAATCATAAAGGTAGAAATATTCCTGTAAGATGTGGTCATACAGTAGGATGACCTTGTTTCATGGCCCTAAAAAAAATCTTTAACAGTTAACATTCGGACTGTTGTTTCACATATATCACGTTTAAGACACTGATGACACTGACAAGTGTCTAAAAGAACATAACCCTGTTAGATGGTAAATAGTCAGAACCCAAGATGTAGTACACACACACACACACACACACACACACACACACACACACACACACACACACACACACACACACACACAGTTGTGGTGGGACCAGGTGTTATGCTGATAAGCTTTAAACTCCCACAGTAGACTCCCGAACCTAAGCTCCCAATCTCTTACACTCTATCTATTGGCTGTGGAAACAGCAAGTGAGTGTGATAGAGAGTGTGAAAGTGATAGAGAGACAGAGAGAGAGAGAGAGAGAGAGAGAGAGAGAGAGAGAGAGAAGCCATTGTATCTCACCAGGTGAGGTCAAAGATCTGTATCTTTGACGCCGAGCTTGGACTGAGCATCTTCGCACGACGACGAGCGCTGGAAACCGTCACCATGACAACTCGACATAGCACGACTGTATTGACCTGCATTCAGAGGACAACAGCATCAACATGGCCCCCAGCTTACATGAGACGAGCTGTGGCAGATGCAACTGGCCTCAAACTCACATGTAAAGAGGGGTACGTGTACCCGGCTCATCAGGCTCTGAGCAAACAAATCTTTGTTTGTATTTTTTACTATGGTAAGCACTGTCTCAAGGTAAATGTTAAATGCATTTCCTCCAACATTAATGATTTGTGGAACAACGTGCTCTCTGCTTTTTAGTAGTGGTTTGGGCCGGGAAACATCGCCCGTGTGCTCAGCTTTAGGTGACTTGCTCATTAAAATATTTCTCCATACATTTTTTAAATCTCAGTTTTCGAGTTTTTGACCTCCTGGTGCTATGGACAAATGTATTACTAAGCAAATATATCTAGATATAGATTTCACTCTAAAGTGTTGGGTCGGTTGAGAGTCTAACCTTAAAGAGACAGAATGCACAAAAAACACATTTAAAGATGAAATGAATTAAATTCATTAATAAAATGATAATTATTTCTCTTTTTTCAATATTTTTACGATCAACAAGAAATTCAAAAGTTACTCATATTTAAAGACTTAAATAACATGGAGGTATATGAGGCAGGTGAACACACACACGCACACACACACACACACACACACACACACACACACACACACACACACACACACACACACACACACACACACACACACACACACACACACACACATTGAGATTACATACCACCAAGACAAAGACAACAGGTCCCACAAAGGCCCAGATGGTGTCAGTCTTCACATTGAGCCAGCAGTGATCATCTGCCTTGTACTCTTCCACTGATACTGTCAGTGTTATACCAACTATTAGAACAGGAAGTCCTAGAAAACAATTTGGTAGAAGAAGATGAGCAGTGGAAGTGTTGTGACAACAAGCAAATCTAAATAGAACAGACTATTTAGTCTGGTTTGTTCTTTTAGTCTACCTAGTCTGATGACATCAGCAAGGAGAGCGGAGGCGAACACCTTCATTTGATCACACACTATTCTCAGCGACATAAAACACCCTCACAGATGTAGGAACATGAACAGTAGCAGCTGCAAGACTTTTAAAAGGTTGCAGCTCGAGATGAAGATGACATGTGTGAGGGATAGTGCATTAAACTGCAATCCATGTTCTTAACTTGTATTAGTACCTACAAAGGTATCGCCTCATCAATTGGCGATGACATATATACTGTCTTATTGAACTGCAGCCACCGGATCTGTTGATGACTGATGATGTCATGATGCAGAATGACAGAGGATTCTGACTTTGGGTTCTTTTTTTAATTGAAAAAGAACCCAAAGACTGCATGATTTCAAATCTAAGACCATGACATTAGAACTCATGCCTCATGGTAATGTAAAGGGAACTAGTTCATGAAGCAAACTTCAACATGGCAGATCAGAGTTTACCCCAGCCGATGATGTAGTAGAGCGTCATCCTGCGGTCCTCGCTGATGTTGACTGTGACAACTTTGCTCCAGAGCAGCAGGCCCTCCACCAACATCCAGGAGAAGGAGGCCATGAAGAAGAGGTGGAGTAGTGCCGTCACCACGAAGCATGCTGCCTACAAGATATTACGTATAATAAGTATTTACATAGTATCATTAGGATAATGTGCCAAATGTACTCCCCAAGTAGGAGTACTCATGATGATGACCCTAACCCTAACCCCAGAAGACGATCACACTCGACTATCTAGTGGAAGTAAAAGTCGTAACAAGGTTTCCGTAGGTGAACCTGTGGAAGGATCATTGCTCAAGAGCCACTATCATGCAGTGGTGACTTTATTTCCATGCAATTCAAATGTACTGGGAACAATAATTTTTCCAAATATTTCATGAATGTACCTCCTACAGTAAAACACAGTCTGACCTCATTGGCAGATGCCCAGTCGCTGCACATCAAAAGCAGCTCAGCAATGGCCAGAGCAACGATCAGGTTCTTATGGACAGTGGTACGGTCTGATTTTGGGATACTGTCCATGAAAGAAAACACACAGCAGTAGTTTTAGGATTTCTCTGTATTTTCCTTTCATTTATTGATGTGAATCTGGAAGGGTTTTATGAAACACTTTTCACCCTCTTTGCTTCACAGAGTGCACTCTCTGATGTCTGTGACTCACCCCACAGCGATGAAGAGGATGAAGGTGAAGAGGAGGCCACACAGAGACACTCCACAGCCGATGAACGTCAGCACCTGTAGAGCTTTTTCGTTCTCTGGGCTCCTCTTAACCCCCCCAACACACACACGCACACAGAGCACATGAGCTGTAAATAGCATACTGTAGATGAAAGCCTACACAAAATACAACGTGATAATTGGAGACAGCAATGTTACCTGGGCTTCATAAACCTGCAGTAGCAATGCAAAATTGGTGGTGTGGTTGCATGAGCAAACAGTGTATCCATACTGTTTGGACACTACATCACAACCTTTGGTATTCCACCACCCACCAGCCTCTGGACTAGTAAGACACAAACGGCACGTATTTGCATATCTACATACACACAGGAATGCCAAGAATGACAATATGCTCCTTATCTAAAGGTTTGGCAACATTTATCCCATTCCTTTACTGGACCAGGTAAGATAACTGTGGTGTTACAGAGGAATATGAGACCTCCAAATTGACATTTTTCAAAACATTCATTGGCACTTACGTGAGATCAAAATCCCAGAAGGCACAGACTGGATCATAGACAGTACCAGTGGGATTCTGTCAAACAAATGAAATGTATACCAGATAAGAGATTTATTTAGTGAAAAGAAGGGTGGAGATTTGAGGGATTCTGCTAACCTGTACTCTGTGTTGGAGTTGGAAGCGCACCGCTGTGCTAACCGGCTGGTTGTCTCCCATCACTGTGGTGGATATGACAGAAGAGCCCAGCACAGTGCCCAAATACCTGGAAATGTACACAATTCCTCTCATATTATTTTGCCAAAACAAGAACACCTTTTTTAAATGCTTTTTGGAAGTACATTTTATTAGTTCATTTAATCAATTATTTTCCAGCTGCCATGCTAATATGTTTTTAAGAATGCCAGTAAAGAACAACACACTACAGATAGCAGACCCAAATGGGTAGACAAAAAGGCATGAAGATATGTAATATGTAACGTAACAATGTATGTAAAAAATGACTTCCAAGCTCTGATTTTCAATCAAATTTCTGGTTCTCAGCTGCGCCTTGCTTCACATTTTCACAAACCTCCTTTGATGCTCTGTGGAAGCTTTTGGGCAGATGAATGAATTAGGCATACCTTGGCGTGCCTGTGTTGTGAAGGTGGATTCCTCTATTCTAGAAGCTAAAGTAAGAGACAAACCACTGAACAGGCCTGTATTTGAATGAGGTGTTCAAATATCTGCATAGTCCTGGAACATGTGGTGTCTCATTCACCAAAAATGTGGCGACAGAGGTGTGGGCGCAATGAGAATTTTGGTGGACAAAACCAGTTTTCGGCATGGTAATGTTTTTTCACTCCTCGCTTTGCAGAACTGATGAACCAAAGCTTGGGTTAAATGATAATTCAGTTGAAGAATTCAATATGTTATTCTATGATCAGTGTGGTGATTGTACAGTGGAAAGCAAAAAGTGTTTATTTCCAGCTCTGCATGTACCTTACCTCTGGCTGCCATCAGTGACGGTAGGAACCATGGTGATGTTCTCCTCCGGATTGAAAAGAGGCCACAGAGAACCGTACCACGTGTTGACCAGTGTGAGCTTAACGAAGCCTACACATTCAACACAACAGGAGGATGAGGCGTTCTTCAGCTTACAACAGACAGCCAAATACAGAGAGAACTGTAGTTCATTTAGGATCACTTATTGTTCAAGACTCAACAATGCGCCTCCATCTGCACTTCAGTGCTAGACCTTGGCAGTGTAAGTGGGTGAATGCTACACATTCACTAAGTTGTCGTTTTATACAACACATCTGTTCTCTTTGCAATGACTCTTTGCTGTGATAAAGTACAGGAGGAAAACATGAATATTGCATTTGACCTACCGTTGTCATGGAGAGCCTGTATCTTCTGATGTGGGACTGAAATGCAGTCTAGTTTGGAGGTCTCAGGGCCACAGAAGCTAAACCCTCTGGATCCTCCTTGCAGCGTCTGCTGCTGCACCTCCACTTCTGGGATAGGATGAAACAGGACAAACATAATGTAAGGAAATTGCACACCACACTGACTTATTCAAGGATTTATGTATTTGTAATGGTTTCTTTTGTGTGGAAACAGTGATACTAGCTGCGTCAACATACACATATCTGAGCTCTGTTTTCAACAAAATGATTGTTGGAGAATGAGAAAATTTTAATTCATAGGTTCCATTGCATTTTTTTAATAGAAATAATCCAACATTTACTCAGTATAGCATTGGCCTGTTGGTATAAATGTGTGTTCCTTACAAACGTGGCACCATTGAAAAAGTGAAATAAACAGGCTTTCCTACGGTATAAGATTTTCCTCACTTTTTGTGCTAGGTTTGTATATGAATCCTTTTTCTCTACTTACTACAAGTCTACTCAAGGACCTCCCCAATGGACCCAGAACCTGGCTCAAATGTGTCATCCTTTGTAACAAAATTCCTTTATTATACATGTACCATAACATTTCAGTATGTCAGTGTGTGTGCAACTCACTGATGTTGGGTCTGTGAATGATCAGGTGATCAGTCTCTACCATCAAGCGAGGGCTAAGGCACGTCACCATCCGGTCGATACTCTTGACTACATCCATGGGGCCGTTCACCACCTAGAAACACACAAATACTGAAGTCTCGGCAGCAGAAACCATTATCCACTGTACCCTGCGGAGCATAGTTGTCATAGCTAAGGATCTACGCCTACATTTCAAAATGACCGTTCAAATGCCGCAGAGTAAATGCTTTCACCGTCAATAACTCTTCCCCGGAGTTTACGCACAGTTTGGCTACAGAGTACACACACAGGTCAATAGATTGGCCTATAATGGTGGATGCTGTGGATGTTGCTTTTTTGCAACCCCTCTTTCTGAATTCAATATGCCCTCTAAGAGCTGAGCCTTGGAGACAGAGCTTTGAGCTGTGCGAGGGAGGTTTTGAGGATGAGCACAGTTTTTCAGAGTGCTGCTCATCCATTGAGTCTAGGCTGAAGTGGCCTTGGAGCGCTGAGAGGCCCGGGGGGGAAGGGAGCCAAGTGCAGAGAGAAACACAACACTTGTCATACGGCTCTCCTAATCAAGTTGCACACATAAATAGTGAAGTGACAAAACGATGGAGTAAGAAAACACAATGCCCCAACTGTGAACTGGATGAAAGCATGGTTTTCTATCTGAATTCTATTTTTGATCGGAAGATACGTATGGAGCTGTAACATTTGTCTACTCTGTTCTACTATTCCTGTTGTAAATTTCTCATTTCGGTGAAGATGATGAGCTCACGTGAAATATGGAAGCGCACTGCCCTCTAGTGCTTCAGAGCAAAATGGCATCAGTCTGTCTGTCCATCTGTTCAGATAGATAGCTGGCCAAACTATAACCATAAATATTTTCAAACTGTTGTTTTGTTTAATCATTTGAACTCAAGCAGTCTGCCTTTGGTTGAAGTGTAGACATTCAAATTTAATTCAATGGATATAATAAAAACAAAAAAACTTCATCACTTTAGTAATACACACACTTTTGAACAGTAATCCCTGTTTTAAGGCTCGAAAGTAATTGAGACCAATTGACCAGCCTTGGTTTGTAGCACTTTCTGCCTTCATTTGTAAGAGAAAAGCAAGTTTAATTGGGTTGAGATCAGGTGATGGACTTGGCCTTGGAGAATATTCCATTGGTCTGCATTGGTCATTAACAATCTGCAATGAGAAAAGCCATCAATCAGCTCAGTAGCATTAGGCTGAATCTGAGCGGATAGGATAACCCTAAACACCAATTCATCCCGCTACTTCTATCGCGACGTGACCAGTGAGCCAGTTCCATTGGCAGCCTTACATCTTGATGCCATAGCACTGCTTCCACCATGATTGGCGGGTGATGCGGTATGTTTGGGATCATGAGCTTTTCCTTTCTCCACACTCTTCTCTTCTCATCAATCTGGTACAAGTTCATCTTGGCTTTATCTGTCCAGAGAATCCTGTTCCTAAACTGATCAGGCTTCCTCAGATGTTTCCTGTCTAATGTGTCCTTCCTGTTCTTGTTCACACTGAATTGCAACTTGTTGGGAATCTTCTGTTTTAATATCCATGACGGCGTCTCTTGATTGGAGACTTTGACAACCACATCCAGAAAATTCATTACTTTGGCAAATGTTATGGAGGAGACTTTCTTCACCAAGAAAGTGATTCTGCCATCATCCACTTCAGATGGATGCATTGACACCTCTTTGTTCATCATCCAATTACCTCTGAGCCCCTGAAAATGCAGATGACTGAGAAAATGGCTGTAATTCCTGTTAATGTGGTGTATTTATTAAATCCATTGAATGAAGGGTGGAAGTCTTCTTCTCAGCTAAATACTGACTACTTCAGGTAAAAGTTACTTGCAGTTAATATTAAGAAAAATTCACATTGCCCCGACTGTATACTTGCAATAAAGAGCGTGGAGAAAACTCTCAAACTACAAGCTTGAAATACAAACTAAAACCGGCTTGCAAGGGAGGATTTACGGTGAACCTGATCCAAAATCTGATGCAATATAAGTAATCAAACCCATTAATAAGAACCATAATGTAATACAGTGTCCAATATGTAATACCTTTTGACAAATAATGTAATTACATTTTCTGTTTAATGAATATAAGAACACATTGTTTGTGAAATGGCAGAATGTCTGTTTGCTTATAGAGGAGATACAATACAAGCACATCCACACATGTTGATCAGGAGAGCTGCAGTTGAATAAGCGGCAACCTCAAACTGTTCTGTTTGGTGTATAATGCTGCACATTGCCGTGAACGGGAGATTGAAGCAAGGGATGAAACAGGATTAACATTTCCGCTGGGGAAAAGGTTACCTTTTTTTTGACATTTCAAATTCCATTTGAACCACTTTTTCAATGCAGAAATTTAGAAATTTTCTTTCAGACATTTAGGATCAATAGATGCAAAAATAACCTGTTATTCATTATGAAATTCAAATTCGTTAACATTTAACAGAGATTATATCAACTGGTTGGCCTTTGCTGCTTTTATGTAATCGAAGATCCACTCTGATTGAAAACACCAATCAGCATGGTTATGGATGGGTTCATCTCCCGATGTATTTTAGTGTAATGTATCATTGCGCATATCTTCACATTTACAATTCGACAGATTATGAAGTAAAGAAATGTTAGTCTTTTCAGGAGGTTTACATGACTCTAACAACAACGTATCGGGTGCTACGGGGCCTTCGATGTCATAAAGGACATTCTCATATTCTTAATCTAAATCTATGCGGTTCCATGTCAGACGCATGCATGTACAATGTGTACAAAGTGCATGGACGGGCACAGTGAGCAGCAGTGCTGCAGAGAGGAACATGCAGTGCCAAGGCATCGGTCCTACCTCTTTGATGGCCTCCCACTTCAGGGCGTTGTCTCCACCGAAGATCCTGTCAGCCACGCTGATGAAGTGCTGGCTGAGCTCCTGGGCCACGTCCCGGCTGTGGTCGGTGGCTTCTGTGCCTGGCTGAGCCGGGACGTCAGCAGCCAGAGACAGCAGCTGGATGATGGAAACCATGTCTGTCGGCTCCAGTGCTTCCTGTTGTGTGTCCTCCAAGGCCTGAGCAGAGAGGTCCAGCAGGGCGGAGGCCTCGGCCAGACTGCTCAGGCCTGACGGCTGCTGCACCAGCGCTGCCTTTGGGGGGGGGGGTCAGTGACACAGGGTGAGACAGAGCTACAAGCCCTCTTTATTTTTATCATCTTGTGTCAATGACATGTTTGTTTCGTCAGTACTGTGAAAATATTCATTTAGAATGTCATGATATCAAATTCAAAAATCAAAAAAAGTTGTTTGCATGTCGAGCTATTTAGGTAATACTTGGTGTAAGTAGCAGTGCACTCTATTAGGCACACCTTGTTCTCAATTCTAAAGTTTTTGTAGAATGAAATAAAACCCTATTAAACACCCACATATCAGATGTACAATTGAATGTGTTATCATTGCAATGGTGTAATCCTAACCAAAAAAATTAACGAGGAGGTCAAATAATTTTGAATTAATTTAGTAATCAAATCCTCAAGATATTTTTCTCATAGAGCAGATCTTAATTGTTTTCTATAAAACACTGTGGTAAACAGCCTCAGAAGTCATTTGAAAGGAAAGAGCCTAGAAAACACATTTAAAGATGTGTCTTTATGCTAAATAATGATGGGCGTTGTTCACCTGGGTTTTGTTGGAAAGCTTCATCAGATGGTTCATAAAAGCCGTGGGCCCGGAGTTCTGAGAGTCTGTCATCTGCTTCATCTTCAGGTAACGCTCTGTGCCAAAGAAAACACATCAGCAGAGTGGATGACGTAAGGGCAGGATGCTCCGCTCCCCCAGCGGGACGAGCCTGCTGACGTCATGGGAATAAACCAGTGAACTCCCAGCAGAGCCTGACCTCTGACCTTGACCTGTGTCAGCGGGGGATTTCCTTCACTTCAGACTCAAATATTACAGTTTAGTGACAGCAGGCAGACATTGTATCCTCACACCTCAACATTTTACTCGAGAGGTTTGAAATTACATACTAAACACCTTATAAACTCCTTTTTCTAAATTTCAGATGGAAGGTTTACTTCAAAGATGTTTTTATGTGCATGGCATATTATGCTATAGCAGAATTATTAAGAATGAAGTCAGTGTTATTTCTATTTTAAAAGGAGGGGGTACAAATGTCTTTAACTTATATTGAGCATCAGATGAATACGAGAGATTATTAATAATAATTTCCTGATCCTCCTCTGACGTTCTCACTAAGGTTTTTATTTTCTTTGAATCTTTTTTTCTGTGCGGATGTGAGGGTTTCAGGACAGACGATGTTTGAGATCTTAAAATGACGAGGCCTTTCTGTCTAATAAATATCATTATTACCAGCCAATGTTTCTATTAACACTAATATTATACCATTCTATCACAAGGCCCGGTCTGTTCTTGTACACAGATGCTCACCTCTTCTGCTCCTGCAGATGAACAGCAGCGGGTCAGAGCATTCTGTCCAGCTGAACAGTGGGAGCTGCTGTGACCATCCCCGAAGCGTCCTGCAGCCATGCAGCTCCATCTGCTGGTGCACTGCTGCACACACATTCACGCACACAGTGACTCAAAAGTCAACTTGTGCCTTTACTGGCAAAACATGCAAACTATCAATCGGGCAAATCAAAAGAGGTTTGATTAAAAAGAAAATGACATTGAGGAAGGATTTGTCTCTGTAATAAAAAGCTGACTGCATGTGTCCTTTAAGAGGAAACTGTGGGAGAGGTATTGTTCACCAGTGCATGCAGTTCTGCTCCTCCACTAGCAGCCCCCACTCTGCTGGAGCTGTGGGAATCCCCTCCTTTCACACTCACTGTCACTGCCCTCCGTGTTGTCATCCTGTGTATCTGGACTAGAGTCACCAAAACCACTGAATAAATCAGCGTTCTCCTCATGGTTAAACTACAAAGCTGATTTTTGGGGTGGGGATTATCCACAAGATATTAACCCAGATTATGGAATATAATAATAACCATGTTTATAGTATTATTATGAACAAAAGACATTTAGAAGAGAAGATTATGGTATAAGTTTGAATTTTGATAACATTGAAGATGTTGAGTATTTCGCCCAAAAGAAATTCACCGAAATCTGTCAGTCATCTGTCATCTGTCCCCATGTCAGTGGACTCATTTTGATTGCTTTGAGTGACGACAAAAGCCCTTTTACAACTACCATATTAGGACATTCATTCATTCAACTGCTCAGCTCAAATTCAAAATCCCTGCATGCTTTCATCTCACTTTACTTTTATACTCTGCCCACAGTAAGAGCACACAGTACCGCACACAGCCCAGTATCAAGGCAGGTTATGAAAACGTTGTGATGTACTCTGGAGGAAGTACCTTTTAGAATAACAAAAGCTAAACTATAAGGCTAACAAATAAAACAGGCTAAAAACACCTGCATATGTGCATACCAGATATAAAGAAAAGCCAATTTCTTGTTGTGTGTTCACACGCATACTTGCAGGGGAAAAAAATGCGGTGGAGCACGAAGGATGGGGCCAGAATGAAGCTAATGTGGGAAATTTGCTCAATTTCGCCTGTGTGCATGAGAAGAAATATTCCAGCTCTAGCACAGAATTTGAGTTGCACTGTGGTGGAGATTCTCCGGTCATCACTGACGACTTCCCACTGCCTAATTGAGAATGGAGGAAAAAAAGTAAAAGCCACTTGTGTACCCTTTGCCTTTTTTGAAAAAGGGTGAGCGCCACGTACGCGCATACACGGACATATTTGCGCACGTATATATATATATATATATATATATATATATATATATATATATATATATATATATATATATTTTTTTTTTTTTTATTCCAAACGTTTTCAGGGAGTATTTTTTGGGGGGGGCAATGGGTTTTATTTGAATAGGTCTGAATAGGTACTCAAAGGATGATTTATTTGTGTTCTCCGTATATAGGCACAGGGGGATTGAACATAGTACAATTTCAAATGGCGACCCCCTCAGAGAGGATCAGTCACTGTTATCTTACCTGGGCAAAAAAGAAGAACCTGAACCTCTTTAACCGTTGGGTGGCTGCTTAGGTCGGCAAGATTCCAACTGAAGAGCACTTCCGGGGTCATGGGTGAACATGCATTGAGAGCCTGGATATGCCTTGTTTCCAGAGAAATATTCCAAACATTCAGGTCTGTGATATTTCCAAAAAAAGGCTCGGTGAAATTTCCTCCGAATGAATCTTGGTCCTGACCCAGTATAAATATACCATCCCCATAGATATTCCTGGGAGAGTCTGTGCCTGAGCCCATGTCCTTTCTGTCTCCATCCACATAGATAGCCCAGTGGCCAGTGATCCGGAGCCATGTGACACATATGTGATGCCAAGCTCCGTCATTGGGGAAGGACGCCTTGTACGGCAGGTGCTTCCCGTGGATGATGAGCGCAAGGAGGATGCGTCCCTGCACATCCACTTGGCCTCTTAGCTGGAACTCATTGGTAAAGATAGGCGCAGCGTAGGAAAAGATGGTGGACACCTCAGTCCACTCTGGGTTCCACTGAACCCGAACACACACACTGACAGACGGCAGCGGGGGAAAGGACATGTTGACACGAGCAAAGCCCTCGCGGGATTCTTTTGGGAAATTTAGAGCAGAGAACTCTGCATCTAAAAAAAAGAAGAAGGACATGGTGATGAAAGTGTTTTGTATTTTCAACGTGCTTTATATGTTATATGTTCCACTGATTGCACTCACACTGTTTGGAAAGGGCCACAGCCCTGGAGGCTGCTTTGCTTGGATCCCTGACCCAGATAGGCAAACGAGGTCTAGTATTCTGAAGCAGCTCAAAGACTCCCTCCTGGTCCTCTGACTCTTCAAGAGTGGCAAGGGAGCTGAACTGGCCTCTGCAAAATCTGTCGGCCCTGGAGAAGGTCAGCGAGGTATTGGCCAGCTGGAAGGCCCAGTGAGAAGTCAAATGGACCAGTGGTGATTTTCCTGGAGAGATCACAACGAGAATGAATGAAAAATAGTTGCATGTGAATCAAGAAGAAATTCAATGGCTTTTGGATTGATGGAGTGGATGGAAAAGACAAGTCAGTATATGAATTGAATTGCTTTGCCACTAAAAGTGATGAACAGTCTCACCATGTGACTCCCCCTCTGTGTCTGGTCCAGCATGTGTTGGTTCGCTCTCACATACCACCTACCGAAGAAAGTCGTGTTTACTGTTTATTCTAACAATTGCTCCGCATTTGCCTGTAAGCAGCATTCCCAAGTTGGAGATTATCTGCAACTTGAGAGTGGATGGTTTATAAAGGCTTTTGAAAACACAATCATAGTTATCAATTTAGAGGATTCCAAAGTTGAAATTGTAATTATTAGCGTTTTCAATACGATGCATTTAATACAAATAACAAAAACTATTTTGCTTGTTAAATTTATCTGGTATATAATGGTCATTACCACAAACGAGAAAAGTATAAGTCCAATATGCAGGGATCCAGTCATCTCTAGACCGGTGTAGTCTCCAACTGAGATGGACCACTGATCTTAGCAAGAAATTGATATTTCCGCTTTAATTTAGGAAACGTCACAGAGTGAATACAAGACCCTGTAAGCGTGTCAGTCTTTAAGAGGTAGTTTCCAAAAATTCTGGAGGTAATATCCTGATTTATTGTCGCCCCGTCCCCATTTTCCTTTAAAGCAGCAGAAAGTCCCTTTGAGTGAACTGGGAAGGAACTCCATGCGTTGACTGATGAAAGCAAAATCTGGTCCAGACTCCTCAACCAGTGCCTCGGTTTCAATATCCAGCATATCCAGCAGAGCTTCTGGTCTCCTGACAGGGCGACAGCCAGCAATCCTAGTGAGTCTGTCCAAGAGTGCCTGTTGGTTTTCCTTACTCCCCTCCCTCCCCTCCCTCCCTCCCCCTCTTTAGTACCCTGAAGCCATCTGCCTTTGTCATGTAAATGTGGTAATTTTTTAAAAGAACCCTTCTTACGCAAGCAGTGTCAAGCATTTGGCACAGAGAGTTCATCCCGACCAGCAGGGCGGTGGACATTTTTACCAAAAAGCCCTTTTTTATGCCTACTATAGTAATCACTAAAGTTACATCATAGTAGAACATATCGTCATAGCCAATACAAGGTTCGTTTTACTAGTATGTTGTTTTTTATTACTTGTCCAGCAAGCTTTTGAATACCTTTTGACATCTGCTTTTACAATACGCCTGTCACATGCTTTTCATGGGCATTTGCACGTTATTAGATTGATGACTCGGTACATGGATGGAACAAAGAGTCAAGCATATCAGCCCCATATCCAGATTTGGGGTAAAGAGAAAGAAAATGTGTCTGTCACTTTCTATTGCTGACAAACATATTGTACTCTTGAACACACAGACATGGTTCAGTTGCTGTAGCACTGAATGACTACAATTTATTCAGACTTTTTCTTCATGTATCTTTGTTCATACATTTGCTTACTTGTGTGTGTTTATTCTCAGTGGAGAACACTTGAAGTTAGCACCCTTTGGTGACCCACAAGGATGTGGGATGTTAGTTCTGTACCTGCTGAATGTAGCATACTGTTGGACAAGCAAGAGCGGCTGTACAAGCACATATTATAAATTGCAGTGACCCCAAAGCCTGTGGGTTTGAAAATGTTTCATGGAACTTTTCGTGTGTACATGTTAACTGAAAATTACATTTGTTTGGTTTTACTAAGCATGTACCGTTTTTAGGGCTTGTATTAAGACAAGCATCTAAGGCAGAGTTATACACCGCTAAGAAACTTGAACTTTAAATATGTATCTTTTATTCCAAAGGTTTGATTTTTAAGAACAGAAATCTTTAATAGTTTTTGCAAAAACCTTTTGGAATCTGTTGTTACCTACCCATTGATCTTCCGTGCAAATGTTTGCCAGTAAACACTTGGTTTTTCATATTGTTTAAGCCCCGTTGTTGTTCAGTTAGATGTACAGGCGACAGAAGAGGAGGGCATGAGGGAGAGCCGTGTGCAGGACTCTTTGTCTTCTTGATCAGTTAGATACTTGGGTGGAATAGCAATGACTGGCTTTGTCTCAATCCGTTTGGTTGTGGACCACTGAGTTCTGGGCATCAGGGCTATTCAGGCTCTACATGATCAGTCTCTCTCTGATCTCAGTCTGTGTCCTGACAGGTGTGTGTGTGAAGACAAAGAGACAAGATGTTCATGGGGAAGGGTTATACTGAACGATGACATGCAAGGTAATTACAGAGCTACTGCACGCTCATTTTGATTAGTAATAGGAGGTGAACAGAACATTGGAATAGTGCAAAGCAGTAACATGCTGTGCAAGGCTATAGATATATACATTCACTTATAGTACACAAACTTTTTTCACTTATTTCTGGTGATATCCATGATGATAGCGTATTTGTAAGAAAAACTACAAGTTTATCAAAACAACACTAGTATTCTATCAGCTCTCGTAAAAAAAGTAGAAAGTAAAAGCTCGTCGACAGCCGACAGTAGTGATCCTACTAATGTTCCTGTCTTTGTGTGTTCTTTTATGAACACCAATGGCTCACATTGGCATGTTTACATTACTCTTCTGTTAGACCTATTGCAAATGTAATGTTACAAATAGCTTATTACATAAATGGCAGATGTTTCGATGGCTGTTCTGTAAAATATCCTGACCACTGCAGTGGACTGGATAATCAAAGTATGTGGAATTCATTTCTCCAATTCTGCTTCTTATTTTTATTACGTTGGCACGTGGGCGAACGGGAAAGAGAGAAATCATTTCTGTTTTCTTGCTTTGGAGTTGATTTTTTTGTATGAGTAAAAATACAAAATATATAATATACAATCAGCTTAAAAAATGATGAACGCTTGTTACACTACCAAACAATGTAGAAGTTCATATCAGCTACACCTTAAGCAGATGAAACATTCAAATGCGGCTTTTAAAGATGTAAAGCCTTTAGCAATAAGGAAAGCATCCTATGACACGTGACATTTCGCTGCGATCTTTACTGGTAACAAAATATTTATATATACTTCTACTTTTACTGAAGTAAAGGAACTCAGGACATAATAATAATAAATCAGGCAACAAAAAATGTGATCTTTATATGTTAAAATCTGGAAACCCACCGGTCTTTCCCGTAAATAAGAGAAAAGTTGCAGTATGAAGTCATATAAAATGGAAATAATGAAGCTTAAGTTGAATCCATCAGTCTTACTCTCACCAAACAGCTGCGGCAGTTTCCATAAGCCATTCACACCATTTCTGTCAAACTTTAAAGAAATGTTTTCCTGTCAGTTGTAATTTTAACCGGATCGGATGTGAGCCTCCTCCACCACTCACCTGCGCTCACCATCCCGGTCATGCTGCTCATTCATCACCACGACTCCAGGGTCTGGACTCCAAGGGGAATAGTAATTGATTATCTTCAGGACGGAGATCCAATAGCCAAAAGACTTTGCACTACTCAAATTTTTATTTTTATTCTGTTTTTATATAGAGAAAGAGAAATATATATCGATCAATTTTAAATTCATAGGGCATGTTTTAAAATGCTTTCAACAAAAGTTTGGTGACCCACTGATTGTTGGAAGTTAAAAACTTGTTTCTTCTACCCACAAAATGAGCTATTACAGGTGTGACCATAGGATCATTTGAGTCTGTGTAATTTAATATATACCTATCTGAATGACAAAAAGTCAATACCCTACCAAATACATTTCTGGAAAAGAGTTTGGAAATCTTGTGAAAAGGAAGAAATGGAAGCAACCACTAACGCTGCTTGTGGAATAGTAAACTTCTTGTAAAGCTGACAGCTGGTGAATACGGGTGCTATAACGCGGTCAATTATAATCGAGTTACCGGTCATGAACACTGGCAGTCAACAGAATTGCAGGCATATCCCTGTGCATCCCAGAGCAACACGTTCACATAACATGTTGACGTAACACTGACCTACGTAACTACTTGAAACATTTGAAAAATGTCTGTTGTGAATCTTCCCAATGTGTTCTTGATCTGCTGGCTCAAACATGCTTGGGTGCATTATTGCCTATTCTCTTATCATATGTACATTAACAGCAGTATATCTTGAGGCTGGAGTGAAGGGGCAGAGTGTTTCTTTACACGATCACACTCACACGCTCTTTCACTGGCTCTGAGTCAACACCACACTCTGCAAACTGCCTTTACCTCACAGAGCCTTCAGGGGAATTCACGTCAGAAATTCTAGTTTTTCAGGCATTCTCAGTAGGTAAAGCCATATAAAACATCTATTAACTCATGTGTTTTGGCCAAAGGGAAGACTTGCAGACCCTGAGGAGACTATGACAACTTGCTCATATGCGTCCTGTTTCTTGCCAGAAGTCAACAAACACTCAGATTAGTCAGATCTCTCTTCATCAACAGCCTTGGCCAAAGTGAGCAGAAACTTACAAAAGAGTGCGGGCTAATTGCCCTCCTCCCTTTGCCTGCTCTTTCCTCCACTGTAACTTCACTGCTACTGCCACCCAGTGTATTTCCATGACAACCTGGGGATTGTAAGACTGGTATGGAAACGTCAAACACTTGGTGGTCTCTCGCATCATTGCCCACAAAAGCCCGGTGACCTACATGTGGAGCCCGATGAAGGCTTTTCCCAGAAGAACAGGCTCAGCAGTATCCATGGACGGAACAGAAACACTGTGACCTCCCCTACCCCACATTTTTATTTGTCGTCAATTGCATGAAGGCAGAATGAGCATGAGAAAAGTTGACTACTCTAGTAACAGTGTCACAGTGCAGTGACATAATCATAAAATGCAATAATTAGAAACAAATCGAGATTTCTATAAATACTTTCGGATTGAATTCTACATATGTTTCATAATGTTGTAATTGTTACGTTGATATTATCAAATATGAATTCCACCTCGCTTCATCGCATAGAAAACTATGAAAACCCTTCAACCAGAAGACTGCTATTTGCTCCCCTCGTGAAACAAGAAGTAAACATTGATTTATTCACATTACCTCTTTGCTAAAATAACCCCACTCATGTAGTTACTTTTACCACCCAAAGTTTTACTAAACCTATCATGGTATTGCTAACTAAGCTTCCCGAAAAGACAATATGCATGGGAATCGAGACGTGTTGCTGTAGGATAACCCACGAAAAATGAATAACTTTTGTTTGAATTGAGTAAGATGTGATACAAACTGTTATATGAGGATGGGCTGGTTCTGTAAATTTGAGTGCAGAAAATGAGTCCCAAATGCTCTCTTGCAAACAAACATTCCTAGCATTTGTCTGGCCTAATCTGGCAACAGCAGATAGTCTTTATGGCCGCCCCATGGCCATCAATCAGGCACGCTACTGAGGACCTGGTCGACAGCAGCAGGGGTCCCAGGGTCGCTACGGAGACCGCCTTTTAAAGCGGTCATATAAATAATATAGGAAACAAAAAGAAAGGGAAAGACAGAGGGAAGAAGGGCGGAGGGACGGGTCTGTTGTCCTCTTTGGACAGAGCTTCAGCTCGAGTGAGACATTACTAAGCTGAGTCAACCCCTGAGTTCATGCAGCAACACAACAGGGTTCACACCAATACATTACTTTGTTCCAATATTGTACCGTTACTGTCTCTATATGATCGTTTTTAATATCATTCTGATATAGCATACATGACTATAAAAGGCAGGTAAAATGTCAGGTTTCATCAGGTAAAGGTTCAACATTGGGCTCTATGAAGCCGATCGTGTGTGCTGTCCAAAAACGGTTCAATAAAGACTGTTGCTAAACCAGTACGCTGTCTCCTCATCATTTCCCATCCCCCCAAGAGGACCGCACGTGACAGTGGCGCCCAACGTGACTGGCGGATGGAACTG